CCGCCAAGTGTACTCTGTATTGTTTTGTTGACAGGGCTGGTGGGGTGATGTCGCATCGGGTTGGTTGCGCATGCTCCGGAATTGGGGACCGAGAGTTTTATATTATTATTATTATTTGTATTATTATTATTATTTACATTATGATCATTATTATTATTATTATTATTATTTATATTATAATTATTATGATTACTATTAGTATTCTTATTCGTATTCTTATTCGTACTATTATTCTTATTATTATTATTATTACTCTTATTCTTATTTTTATTATGATTATTATTATCATTCTTATTATTGTTATTATTATTATTATTATTATCATCATCATCATCATCATCATTATATATATGTATAAGGGGATAGTGGGGTGGTGCCCGCATGGACCTGGGTTGGCTTCCGGTCACCTGGGGGAGGGGGTGTATATTTACAGGGAGCAGCGATTGACTGTTAAGGGTGGTAGGGGTCGGGTTCCAGAACCCGGGAGCGCCGTGGCGAAAGGGGGGGACGGGGGGGGGGGGTCGCATTTGGCGGCCAAAGAAAGGAAGGGGGGGGGCCGATGACGGACCCGGAAAAGGGGGGAGAGAGGGGGAGGGGGGTCCCCGACGACGGATCGGGAAAGGGGGGGAGGGGGGGGTCCCTGACGACGGATCGGGGGAGGGAGGGGGGGTCCCACCCACCCTCCTTTTTGGGGCCATCCAGCGGTTCGCCCTCCACAACAACTACATACACATATTGTTTTGCAAGTCCGCTCGGGTTTTTCGGGTCGACGCTGGACCCCTTATGGCGGCGTCTCAGGGGCCGCTCTTGGCGCGTTACGCGCGCCAGGGAGGGGACCCATCGCCGATCCAACGAAGCCGCGCCGAATTCCGAAAGCTTATGGTTATGCAGCTTTGCCTTCTTCCTAGGTGGGGTGCAACGTTCTGGAGGATCGACATGAGTACGGGAAGAGTGGCAACGAAGACCAACAGCAGTTCATGCCCATTCTGAACAGGACTCGCCGTCGGTGTTGCCGCAGATATGGCATTTGTGGCACGACAAGTCGCCGGTCAAACAGATGTGGCGCTCTTGGTTTTGGACAACCAATGGTGTTGGGTATCGTCCCCAGTTTCCCGTACCCCTTTTCGGGCATGCAGTAACGCCTTGGGGGGAAAGGCTTACGTCTGGCTTGTCCCTTTACAACGGGATTTTGGGCGTTTCTTTTATTACCTAACAGCGAAGACTGATAGGTTTCTAGTAGTGTCAAAAGAGAGCATCTTGACTCCCCAGGGGGGTCTGGGCGGGTGCCGGGGAGAAGCCGCGGAAGTCATTTTAAGCAAACAGTTACACACTTCGTGGTCTTCGAAGTCCCAGAACTCCATTCCTGGGCCACATTTTGAATGCCCGGAGCCAACTGTAGGCCACTTCGTGGTCTTCGAGTTCTGATTCCCGGGCCACATTTTGAATGCCCGGAGCAAACTGTAGGCCACTTCGTGGTCTTCGAGTTCCCAGAACTCCATTCGTGGGCATGATTTTGAATGCCCAGAGCCAAATGTAGGCCATTTCGTGGTCTTCGAGTTCCCAGAACTCCATTCCTGGGCATGATTTTGAATACCCCGAGCCAACTGTCGGCAACTTCGTGTTATTCGAGTTCCCAGAACTCCATTCCCGGGCCACATTCTGAATGCTGAGGCAGGCTGATGCTGAGGCTGAGGCAGGCTGAGGCTGAGGCCGGCTTAGGCTGAGGCCGAGGCTGAAGGCAGACTGAGGCTGAGGCTGACGCAGGCTGAGGCTGAGGCTGAGGCAGGCTGAGGCTGAGGCTGAGGCAGGCTGATGCTGAGGCAGGCTGATGCTGAGGCTGAGGCCGAGGCAGGCTGAGGCTGAAGCCGAGGCTGACGGCAGACTGAGGCTGCGGCTGAAGCAGGCTGAGGCTGAGGCTGAGGCAGGCTGAGGCTGAGGCTGCGGCAGGCTGATGCTGAGGCAGGCTGAGGCTGAGGCTGCGGCTGATGCAGGCTGAGGCTGAGGCAGGCGGAGGCTGAGGCCGAGGCTGAAGGCAGATTGAGGCTGAGGCTGAAGCAGGCTGAGGCTGAGGCAGGCTGAGGCTGAGGCTGAGGCTGAGGCTCATGCAGGCTGAGGCTGAGGCAGGCGGAGGCTTAGGCCGAGGCTGAAGGCAGACTGATGCTGAGGCTGAAGCAGGCTGAGGCTGAGGCTGAGGCAGGCTGAGGTTGAGGCTGAGGCAGGCTGATGCTGAGGCAGGCTGAGGCTGAGGCTGAGGCTCATGCAGGCTGAGGCTGAGGCAGGCGGAGGCTGAGGCCGAGGCTGAAGGCAGATTGAGGCTGAGGCTGATCATGCAGGCTGAGGCTGAGGCAGGCGGAGGCTGAGGCCGAGGCTGAAGGCAGACTGATGCTGAGGCTGAAGCAGGCTGAGGCTGAGGCTGAGGCTGGCTGAGGCTGAGGCTGAGGCAGGCTGAGGCTGAGGCTGAGGCTGAGTCTGAGGCAGGCTGAGGCTGAGGCTGAGGCTGATGCAGGCTGAGGCTGAGGCAGGCTGAGGCTGAGGCTGAGGCCGACGGCAGACTGGGGCTGAGGCTGACGCAGGCTGAGGCTGAGGCTGAGGCTGAGGCTGAGGCTCATGCAGGCTGATGCTGAGGCAGGCGGAGGCTGAGGCCGAGGCTGAAGGCAGATTGAGGCTGAGGCTGATGCAGGGTGAGGCTGAGGCAGGCTGAGGCCGAGGCTGAAGGCCGACTGATGCTGAGGCTGAAGCAGGTTGAGGCTGAGGCTGAGGCTGAGCCAGGCTGAGGCTGAGGCAGGCTGAGGCTGAGGCTGAGGCAGGCTGAGGCTGAGGCTGTGACTGCGACTGCCGTTGCCACTGCGACTGTCATCGCGAATGCGACGACGACTGCGAGAACAGCAGAATTATACAACTGGATTCCCATCTGAATCTGAAGGGGAATGCTTCCAGATATGCTCCTACGCATCGCTGTTATGTTGCTTTGCCGGGATATTCTTTACACATCCATATATATATATATATGTATGTATATGTATATACATATATACATATATATATATATGTTTATATATATATGTATATATGTATATATATATGTGTATCAACGAAAGAACAATATTCTAAATCTGTTCACGATTCCCTGAATATTGCTAAGGCCTTGCGGCCGACGCTGACTCTGGAGGCCTCGGCCCTCGACGGAACTGGGAGGGAGAGGGCGGGCCATGGGACCCCCTTCCCGGACCCCACCTTTTGAGTAAACACCGACGTTGCTCAGATTGGCTTCCCCTTCGCGTCGCGGCCGCCCCCCCCCCGAAGGGAACCGCCCGGGTTCCCCCCCCCCCCCTACAAGGGCATCCGGATGGGACCCCCCCCCTCGGGGGGAAGGGATAAGAGTGAAGGGGCTTCCCTTCGAGTAAGCTACGACGTTGCTCAGATTGGCTTCCACCCCGTGTCGCGGCTGCTCCCCTCCGCGTTGTGGCCGCTCCCTCCCCCGAAGGGAGCCGCCCGGGTGCTCCCCACCCCCCCGCGCATCCGGGTGTGACCGACACCCCCCCTCACCTCTGGGGGAAGGGATACAAGGGAAGGGGTTTTCCGTTCACGCTGCTCATATTGGCTTCCCGCTTCCCCCCGTGTCCTGGGGGGGGGGCAGATTGGCTTCCTCCCCGGGTCGCGGCCGCTCCCCTCCGCGTCGCGGCCGATACCCTCCCCCGAGGGGAGCCGCCCGGGTGCGCCCCCCCCCCCCCGCCCTCCCGCGTTTCCAGGTGCGACCCCCCCCCCGCCCGTCCCCCCCCCCTCTCCCCCCCCTCTCGGGGGGAAGGGATAAATGGGAAGGGGCTCCCCTTCGAGTAAGGTAAGCTGCGACGTTGCTCAGATTGGCTTCCCCCCCGTGTCCGGGGGGAAGCAGATTGGCTTCCCCCCCGGGTCGCGGCCGCTCCCCTCGCCCGGGGAGAGTCGACCATTTCCCCTCTTGGAGCCGACGTGGCGGTGTCGTGGGCAGTTCTCCTCCCCCGAGGGGAGCCGACCACCCGTCCTGGAGCCGACGTGACGATATTGTGGGCGACGACGACCCACGCACGATGAAAAGACCAGGATACGTCTTCCACATGCCGACAGGGTCGGCGGATTTCTGAATATCCCTCCTGCAGAGGGACAGGCCCCACTTCAGGATAGGCTCAGGCTTGAGGTTCGACGTTTTCTCAAGCGTTGTCGTCCGTTCTTGGCGCCTTTCCAGGCTCGGGTGCTCTCCAGCAGCCTCGCCCCGCCGAGGGTTTATCCCAGCCGCGGGAGATGGGCTCAGGGGGGGGGGGAGCATCGACCCCCGATCGCCCATTCCTCGCCGATCCCAAACCTCCTCGCGGCGTGAGAAATGCCGGATGTGCACGGCGCTGAAGGCGAGAGCCAGCCACATTTTGAAAACGGCCCGCTCTCACGCCGTGAAACTCTTGCAACATTTCGTCACCAGTGTGCGCGACGCGAAGGCGAGAGCCACATTCTGGAAGCGGCAGTCGGATACATAACAGGGAACTCTCGGGCGAACCGCCCGGGTCCCACCCCTCCGACCTGCCTCGGGGTGCTACGAGGAGGAGTTGTTAGCAAGGGGAAGGTTGGGAGGGGGGACGGGGAGGAGGAGGAGGAGGAGGAGGAGGAGGAGGAGGAGGAGGAGGAGGAGGGGAAGGAGGGGTGAGGAGGGGGAGGAGGGGAGGAGGGGGAGGGAGGGGGAGGAGGGGGAAGGAGGAGGAGGAATGAGGGAGGGTAGGACGGAGGAGGTCAGCAGGGAAGGAGGGATGGAGGGAGGGGGGTGGACGAGGGGAGGAGGGAGGAGGAGGGAGGAGGAGGCAGGAAGAGGGAGGAGGAGAGGAGGAGGAGGAGGAGGGGAGGCAGGGGAGGAGGGAGGAGGAAGGAGGGAAGGAGGGACGATGAGGCAGGCAAGTGCGCGAACGCGGGAGGGAGGAGCGAGGAGCGGCCGCGCTTCCGAGGAGAGCCGCGGCGCGCCTCCTCGCCCCGAGGGCCAGGCCTGCGGGGCGGCGCGGGGTGCCCCTCGCGCGCGCGGCAGGCCCACCCCGGGGGGCGCCAGAACCTGAACCTGCGCACGGCCATGCTCCTCAGTGAGCCCGAGGCCCCGCCCCTGGACAGCCACGCGCCGGGAGGGGGGAAGGCCTCTGAGAAGCACCCCTGCTCCTCAGAGGGCGCCGGCCCGCGCCTCCCAAGGAGCAGGCTCCTCCTGAGAAGCCCTTCCCCCCCCCCCCCCATCCCCTTGCGCGCGCCGCCAGCCGCCCGCGTGCCTCCCCTCGGGGGCCACGTCCTTGGCGCCCCTCGGGTCACGAAGACATCATGGCGGGCGTAGCTTGTTGTTGCTGGGTTGGGTCTCCCGAGGCGTTCTTCGGCGCCGTCGCGTCGCGCCCGATCGCCGCAGAGCTGCCCAGACGTGCTCTCGTCGTGCGACAAATTCCGACGGAGGGCTTTGGGTAATTTTCGGCCTCTGGAGGCCCTCGCTGGGTCTTGGGACCGTTGGACAGCGACTCATGATGAAAAGCCGGTCCTGGGGAATAGGTTGAGTCTTCTGGGTTTAAAACAAAAGTTGGGGTCTGGGTCAGGAGGGGATGGGCTCGGGCTCGAGGTTTCGTGCGTTTTCGTCGGTTCCCCTCCATCCCCCATCCACCTTCCTCCTCATCCTCTTGCCTCTTCCTCCCCCACCCCTCCTCCTGCCTCCGTTTCCTCTTCCTCTTCCTCCTCCTCCTCCTCCTCCTCATCATCATCCTCCTCCTTTTCCATCTCCATCTCCTCATCCACCACCTCCTCCACTTCCTCCTCTTCCGCTCCTCCTCCTCCTCCTCCTCCTCCTCGTCTCGTCCTCTCCCACCCTCACTCCTCCCTTTTCCGCTTCTCCTCCTTCTCCTCCCCCTTCTCCTCCTGCCTCCTCCGCCTCCTCCCGCGCCTCCTCCTCCTCCTCCTCCTCCTCCTCCTCCTCCTCCTCCTCCCTCCTCTCCTCCCCTTCGTCTTCTCTCCTCTCTCCTCCCTCCTCCGTCCTCCGTCCTCCTCCCTCCCTCCTCCTCCCTCCTCCTGCTCCCTCCTCCCTTCTCCCTCCTTCCTCCGTCTTTCTCCTCATCATCTGATTCTTCTTTTCCTCCTCCTCTCGTCGCCTCCTCCTCCGCATCTTGCTCCTTTCCTCAGCCTCCTCCTCCTCTCCCCCTTTTCTCCTCCATTCAGCTTCTTCACTAATCACCCCTCACTGTCGCACCCCGAGGCCAGTCGGAAGGGGTGGCCGGACGTTTCGCCTGAGACGGCCTCACCATTTCTGATCCTGAAGCTTAGATCGACGTTCGCAACAGCTTCACCGATGGAGGACTGGTGATGTTCAAAATGTGGTTCTCGCCCTATCACCACGCATATTGGTTTTGAAATGTTGCAAGAGCTTCACGGTTTGAAGGCGGGTCATGAGCAACACTTGGTTCTTTATTTTGCGTCGCGCACACGCGCCTTACTCATTTGCAACAGTTTTACTGGTTGAGGGCGTTTTGTTTCCAAATTTAGTTATCGCCTCAGCGCCGCGCACATTCGTCTAAAACCAGACCTGCAAGACGTTCACGGATTAAGGGCGGGTCGTTTTCAAATGTGTGTTTCGCTTTAGCGCCGCGCACATTGATTGAAAAACATTGCAGGAGTTTCACGGATTGAGGGCGGTTCTTTTCGAAATGTGGTTCTCGCCTCAGCGCCGCGCACATTCGTCTCGTCGCACCACTTTGCAAGGGTCTCACGGAGTTGCATGGCGAATTTACCAGAAATAGTGGTGTGGGATGTTTCAGATTCGCCAGGGCGCACCAGTGACTTATGATTTGCGGTGTTGAAGTCCCATCAGCGGTGTTGTGGCACGAGTCACGGTCGTCAAGACGCAGCAGTCGGGTTGATATGTGGCGTTGAAGTCTTGAAAATTGTGTTTTGGCGCGCTCCATGATGTTCAATCGATTGTCTCCGAACGGTGCATTTCCGTCAATGGGAATGAATTATGATAGGGGCTTGTCAAGAGGGAGCTTGGAGGGAGGGTTTATTCCAACATCGTTGATGGGTCTTGGGCTTACACTGGTCATTCGCCCTCCTCCTTCTCATCCTTCTCCTCCTCTATCCTGTCCTCCTGCCTCCTCCTCGTCCTCCTCCTTCCTCCACCCTCCCACCTCCTCCTCCTCGTCCTCCTCCTCGTCCTCCTCCTCCTCCTCCCTCTCCTCATCCCTCTTCCCTCCGCCCTCCTCCCTCCTGCTTGTCCTCCTCCTCCTCCTGTTCGTCCTCCTTCTCCTCCTCCGCCTCCTCTCTCTCCTTATCCCCCTCCTGCTCCTCCTCCTCCTCCTCCTCCTCCTCCTTCTCCTTGCTCCTCCTCCTCCTCCTCCTTCTTCTCCTCCTCCCCCTCCTCCCCACTCCTCGTCCTGCTGCCTCTTCCTCCTGCTTCTCCTCTTCATCGTCATCCCTATCGCCTCCTCCTCCGTCATCCCTCCCCCCTCTTCCTGGCCGTCTTTCCATCCTCCCCCTGCTACCCTCTGCCCACGTCCGCACGAAGGAGGAGGCCGACGGTCAGCTCCAACGATGACATACATCAGCGTGCGTAAGAAAAACGGGCAGTTGCCGCGGGCTGCGCTGCCAGCAGGATCAATGCCTGCATCCTTGTGCCCCTGTCTGACGGCGACCACGAGGAGGAGGAGGAGGAGGAGGAGGAGGAGGAGGAGGAGGAGGAGGAGGAGAAGAAGAAGCGCCAGCGAAACCCACAACTTGGACGCAGCACGGCAGCCCGCACACACGAGCAGCACACACGCGAGGAGTTCGAGGCCTCGACTCCGCACGCGCAATACTTCGGCGCGCCACGCCGACCCCTTTCCGAGTCCCGGGCGTCCACGTCCCCGGCCTTTCGCCCCGCAGCGCGGAGCGACACGCCCACCCGCCTGCCGGGCGCGGCGTGTCGCCGAGGCCGCCGCGGCGACACGCGACGCGCAAAGGCTTCCCGACCGGAGCCTCGAGGGCTCGAGCTCGGCCGGCGTTTTTTCGCCGGCCCTCGGCGCTCCGATCCTGCCTCGGGGGGCGCTCCAGCTCAGCAGCTGCGCCTCGCCGCGGGCGTTCGGGGGGTGCCCGGGTCGTCCCCCCCACGGCCGCCACCTGCGCCGGTGCCCGGGGAGCCAAGGGGCAGCGTCAGGGGGGGGGGCAGGTTGCGGCTCAGTTTCGTCAGGGGCCACGTCAGGGAGGCGGGCCCGCGCGCGCGCCTCCCTCGCGCGCCTGTCTGGCCGCAGGGTTTGCTCTGGTGTTCCCGCGGCCGCCTCCCCGCCCCGCCTTGCCCCGCCTCTGCCTCCGCAGGACGTGCTCCGCCGCGGGCGCGGCCCGCCGCAGGCCCGGCCCGACCGCTTGCTGGACCCTCTTCGCCGTGGAGCGCAAGGAAACCGCAGGGTGGGGCTGGCAGGGCTCTGGGCGAAGGGGGGCACGGAGGAGGGGGGGGCCCGGGGGGAAGGGGGTGCTGGAGGAAGGAGGTGTCCAGGAGCAAGGTGTCCTGGAGGACGGGCGGTGGGGCTGGTGGGGCTCTGGGCACAGGGGAGCATGGAGGAGAGGGGGGCCCGGGGGGGAGGGGGTGCTGGAGGAAGGAGGTGTTCGGGAGTTAAGGTGTCCTGGAGGACGGGCGTCGTGACGAAGAGCGGGGGTTCTGAAGGGAGGGGGGCCCTGGAGGCGGCTCGCCTTCTTCCAGCTCCTGGGGCCGTCAGACATGTGCTCCGGTTGAAGAGCTGGCCCCCGGGGAGAAGTCCCCGGGTGGTGCAGCGCCCGTTTCCAGCAGGTGCAGGGGATGGGGCGGGCGGTGGTCTGGTGCTGCTGCAGGCTGCCGCGGTCAGTCTCGCGCTTCAAGACGAGCAGGCCTTCCGGCTGGACGCACCCTCTCCACCAGCGAGTTTAGGCTGCGAGACCGCCCAGGAGATTCGACCTTCTCTCACGCTGCTGGCTGGGGTGGCTCCGGGGCCCGTGCCCAGATCTCCTGCACTCTGCCTTAAGCCTTGGCCGATCCGCTGCCTGGCCGTCCGCGCGCTCGGGCCCCCCCGTCGCCTCGACTTCGCGATATCTCGGCACTGCGCCGTGGCCCGGCAGCGCGACGGCGGTCCGGTTGCTGCCGGCAGAGGCTTGTTTCCCCCCACGGCCTGGGTCGACGGGGCTAGGATCAAGTCGGGCCTGTCCCTCTACAGGGGGAATAGTCCGAAATAGTATAAAAATAGTCGAGGGACTATTCTTGGGCATCTGTGGAGCAGTTTAGGAGTACTTTTTACTGTTCGTCCAATCTCCCCCTGTAGGGGAACAGGCCCGACCTCAGGCTGGGACGAGGGTCACGTTCTGGAACAATCTCAGAGCGTTCCGGAACGCTCTGAGAGAGCCGCGGCGCCCGAGAAATCTTCCACATCCGCCAGATCTCAGAGACTCGATTTGTCCTTCCCCGACGGCTTCGTCTGATTCGATCCGCAGGCTGGAGGGAGGTCTGATGCACTTTTATCTTGGCCCAGGATGGGTGTACCCAGGCCATCGGCACCCTTTTGGATCGCGGACTCGGTTTAGGACTCGAGGGGGCTGGTCGGCGCTGCGGTCGGGGATGGCCGGTCCCCGAGGTCAGGGCCAATGCCACGGGAGGGCTAGTCTCAGGAGGGGATGCATCGACCCCCGATCGCCCAAGCGTCGTCGGCGGGTACCCGATAGCCCACCCCGCCCAGGAGCGTGCGGAGGCGGAGTCGCTGTCGGGAGCCTATCGCACATCTATCAGCAATGCATCACCGATTCCACCTCGACGCTGTCCCCACTGGGCTCGTCACCCTCTAACGTTCCCCCATCACCAGATTCGCGGCGGATTCGGGAGTTCCGTTGTGGCTTGTGGCGATCAACGATGGGCCCCCGTGGGGCCCCGAAGATGCGCGAAAGGTGCACCTTTCTTCACCCTCCCGTTCATTGCCCCCCATTGAGCAACGCCCGGCTCCGGGACTATGCAAACGGGGGTCAGAGCGCCAGATCTTGCAGGATGCTGTAGGATCTCGCAGGGTCTTGCAAGGCCTGACTGGCCCGGGTCTGGATTGACCCCCGGGTCAGAAGACCCCCGACCTGGGCAGGACGAGGCACGGAGAAAGTTTCGGCCCTTTGTGCGACAGCGTCCCGTCGAGTCCCCGTCATCGAGACCCTGACCAGGCCCCGAGGCAGGCCCAGGCCTCAGGCGGATGCGAGACTTACATTCGCCAGCCCCTGGAGGCTCTCCCTAGATTCAAGCCGGGCGTGTCCCTCTACAGGAGAAAGATCAAAACTTATCCCAGTGCGACCCTACCTAGGAGTTGGAGCTCCTAGGAAAGCAGCATTAGTAGTAACAGTAAGGCTAAGCTAAAGCTAAGCGAAAGCTAAGCGAAAGCTAAGCTAAAGCTAAGCTAAAGCTAAGCTAAATCTAAGCTAAAGCTAAAGCTAAGCTAAAGCTAAGCTAACGCTAAGCTAACGCTAAGCCAAAGCTAAGCTGGAGCTTAAGCTACAGCTTGAGGTACAGCTAAGCTAAAGCTAAGCTAAAGTTAAGCTTAAGCTAAGCTGAAGCTAAGCTGAAGCTAAGCTAAAGCTAAGCTAAAGCTAAAGCTAAGCTAAAGCTAAAGCTCCCAGGGGACTGGGGGAACCGCGGGGCGGGAACTGGGGGAACCGCCCGGGGCGCTTTCCACTGCCCGGCCCCGTTAAGCTAGAGAGTAAGAACCCTTCTAGGCAGAGCCTAGGTAGGGAAATATACAAAATACTCCAGGGGCGATGTTTGATTACGTTTGACTATCTACGAGCACTCTTTGACTGTGTTTCATTTTTCTTCCCTAATCCGCCTGTGGGAGGACATGCCCGACCTAACCCCAGATCTCAGGTGACGTGTTTCTGTTCCATCTCCGCCCCCTCTTTCCGCCGCTTCCTCTGCTTTTTCCCCCCTCCTGCACGGTGGCTCAATTCGCTACAACGGTACCTCGTTTAGGTAGCCTTCCGCCAGCTAAGTTACCCTGCCTAGAACCCGTCGCAAAAAGTTTCTGTCCATCGCGGGGCACTTCCTCGCTTTCGGTATGGGATCAACGTGCAGGATGGTGAAATGCGCGGGAAGCTCAGGCGAAACGCCAGGCCGGTGTTATTGTCATGTCTTGTGGCGCGACACCGTGAGGGCTATGAGGATCAGGACTATGAGAGAAACAACGCAAGATGTTGCGTGATGCAAGAGTCGGACTAACCAGTCGTGATGATGGTGATGAGGAAGGTGAGGACGAGCTGCAGGGTGAGTGGCGACATCGCAATGACAGCGTGCGTGAGGCTGGGAAGGCAGAGGTGGTAAATTGTGCCTCGGCCCAAGATCTTGACCTCCGCACGCCTCCGAAGACCCCCATGGCCGTCGGAGGCCCGACACATCTTGAGGACGCCAGGCTGTCTGCCGGGTGCACAGTCAACCCGCATAGGAAGGACGGGCAACCTTCCCAAGGGGACCCTTGCATCCTTGCCTCCTCGGTGCATCCTTGGCCACTCTCGTGGGCCGCGCCCCGCTCGAAACGCTTCGAGATGGGCTTCCAAGAGCCTTGCGCCCTCATCGCGCACCCTTGCTCTGCGGGCTGACTGCACCCGAGACCGGCCCCCTCCCCGATCCCCCCTCAGGGTCGGGCCCCCCCTCCTCCTCCTCCTCCTCCTCCTCCTCCTCCTCCTCCTCCTCCTCCTCCTCCTCCTCCTCCTCCTCCTCCTCCTGGGGATGCCGAGGCGGTCTCGCGGAGGACGCCGCCGGGCGAGGCCTATCGCGCGAGGGCCCCGGGTGCAGCCAGGTCTGAAGTCGGGCCTGTGCCCCTCTGCAGGGGGAACACTCAAAAGTACACCTTAGGCGATGCTTAAGAATACTTAAGTTTTCGGCCAGAGTCTCGATTATTCTTAACGTTTCAGTGTAAATCCTAAGTTTTTAGTAGAAATGTTGGGTTTTTTATTCAAGATCTGAGACTATGAATTTCTTAACCCATGATTTCTTAAGCATTTCGCAGGGTGTAGTGAGAGACTAGTCTGGAGACAATGTTTTGGCAATGTTTTTAACTATCTGGGGGCATCTGTGGGGTACTTCTGATCTTTCGACCGGAAGCCGCCTGTAGGGGGGCATGCCCTCATTGCCTGAAGCTAGTCGCTCATCCGCCCCCTCGCCAGCGTCTTCATGATGTCTTCATCGTCCTCCTCGGCCTCCTCTTGGATCTCCTCCGCGTCCTCCTCGTCAGGCCGCGGCCGGGGCAGGGTGCAGCAGTTCCCCTGGAGGGAGAGCACGGGATCCCCTCACTGTGTCCAGGGACCATTGGAAGGAGACTGAGAGGGAGGATCCGGAGGAGGAGGAGGCGCTGGGCATTACTTCCTCCTCCGACGCTCCCTCTAGCGACCCTAACATGTGACCGCACTCAGCAACCGAAAATTCAATTCGTCACGCCAACTACCCGAAGCAACTCGCGAGGGTGCGGCAACACACACACACACACCACCTTCAATCTAACAAACAGAGTCGCCATATCAAATCACCACATGCACTCACCGACGAATGTATCCAACCGTTTGGCAATACACTTCAGGAAATTCTCAATCCATTCGCTGACACAACCCTCCCGAACAATTCTCGAAGCAATCTGCTGATGGAGAACTTCGTCTTAACGCGCGAGTCTGGCAAGAGGCTTCTCTGGACGACCACTGGAATGACAACAGCAACATAAGGAGTGGGCATCAGGTCTCGTGCCCTGAGCGCACTGCTCCTTTGGTCCACGAGCAGGGCGTTCTGGCATGGATTTGCTTGGCCACGGACTCCTCGACCGTACGGAATTGTCTCGTGGGTAAGGGTATGGTCCAGAGTTGCAAATACCATGAGCAGGGGATGCCACCATATGCCAACTTCAGGCTCATTCTGGTTCATCCGATTCGATTCGATTCGATTTCGATGGCTTCCGATTCCGATGCGGTTCGACTTGGGATTCCGATTTGGGCTCTGATTTCTCAACGGAGGCCTACTAGCCTGCCGATTTCCGCCGATCCGAATTTTCCCGACTCGGTTGCCGATTTCCGTCGATCCGAGTCATGTCGATCGCCGATCCGACTTCTCGATTCGATTATGGGCTCTCCTGCAACTTTCCTGACCCATGTGCTACTTCTGCCTTCGATCCTGAGCCCCAGAGGCCCCTGGAGTCCAGAGATCCCACGTTCCGAAATTCCATATCCTCGAGGCTCGAGCGAGTGCAGAATTGCACTAGCAGCAGGATGTCACCCGAGGCCCCCAGGGGCCCGAGACGGAAAACATTTGGTTCAAACTCCCAAGCAATTTCAGGAGGGAGAGAAACACACAGACACAGTGAATCGTCGATTCCCTAGACAAAAATCAGGACACTATAGAAAAGTGGGGGGGAAGACAGAAACCCAGAAAGCATTGAAACATACAAGGGGGGAGCCTGTTATTTGTGTCTATTTATTTGTGTGTCCTGGGGCCCCTTCATATCCGAAATCTCGTCAAAACCCCTCTTCCCTCGCTCCTCCAGGGCCTGGGCGGGCCGGAAAACAGCAGCACGGTGCCCCCCGAGGTTCTCTCGGGCCCCGGCAGGCCAGAACACACAATTCACGACGACCTTCTTACGCCGTTCAGTGGCTGACTGGGCCAAAGGGGATGCCTACACAGCGCCTGCGCTCTACAGTCGGGGCCCTGCAGAAGGAACGCTTTTCGTTGGGGAGGGGCTCGGTGTTCCTTGATTGTTTTACAGTTTGCCTCGGGTTTCCCTCAGGTTCCCCATGGGAAATCGAAGTTCAACTTATGGAAAGGGGGGCCTCGTTCCTTATTCAGGGTTCCTCAGGTCGACGCCCCGACTGTATACTCTGATTTGCGGGCGACGGGTGGGCATCGCTGGCGATCGCTCCATGGCCAAGACAACCGAGCGCATCGAGAAGCACCCGGCGACTTCCCGCGTGGGCGAGGGGCACGCCTCCGCATCCGCGGCCTCGCGCGTCGGGCCCCCTTGGCCGCCGCGACCCCGTGGCTGCGGAGCGCTGCTGCTCGTGGCTGCCCCGCGCGGGGCACGTCCGTGCGGCCGCGGATCCGCGGATTCACGCCGGAGTCCGGACCGCGAGGGCGCGGGGGCGCGGGCAGGTGTAAAGCCGGGCCTGTCCCTCCACAGGGGGCATGTTGAAACATAGTCGACACATAGTCTGGGGATTACTTTTTTCAGCATTGTTGAGCCGATTTGGGATTGTCTTTGGAGTGCTGTATCCTTTCAGTCTTCGTCGGAGATCCCCCCCTGTGGGGGGACACGCCCGACTTGCGGGCAGGGCCGCCGCTCGTGGCTCTCTCCTCGGTCCTGGAGGGCCCCGGGCCGGGCCTCGGCGGGAGGCGGCGGCCTCGAGGGTGCCCCGTGGCCGCCCAGGGGGTTCGCCCTCTGCCGAGGCCCGCGAGTCCGACGTTGGCGGGGGGCCGCGGGGAGGCCCCTGGGAGGCCGTCGGGGGCCCCCGGAGGCCAGGGCGGAAGAGCCCAACGGGCAAGAGGACAGAACAAGGCAAGCCGGAGTGGTGCGAGCCAAACGGTGTGCGTGTGTGTGTGAGTGTGTGTGTATGTGCGCGCGTGTTGCGCGATGTCGCGAGGCGAAGGGCGTGGGAGCACGAGAGCAAATCGAGGACGGCCAGCCCCCACTGCAGTCCACCCAAATAGTCAGGATGAGCAACCCTTCCCAGGCTGCCCTCGCATCCCTGCCCCCTCGGCCCGTCCTCGGCGACCTTCGCTGGCCGACCCCTTCGACAACCGTGGACGATGCCCTTGGCAATACTTTCGGGGCACGGCAGGCGGGAGAAGAGAGGGAGGGCGAGCAGCGAGCGGCCCATGCAGAGCGACGGCTCCACAGAAGGAGGGTCAGCAACGGCGTGTGCGTGTGTGCGTGTTGTGTGTGTGTTGTGTGTGTGTGTGTTGTGTGTTGTGTGTTGTGTGGTGTGTGTTGTGTGTTGTGTGTTGTGTGTTGTGTGTGTTGTGTGTGTGTGTGTGCGTGTGTGTCACCCGCCCGGCCTCGAGCCCTGGCAGGGCGACTTGCGTGCCGCGTAAAAAGGGGGGGAGGGGGGGGCGAGAAGCGGGGGCGGCAGCGAGGGCTCCGGAAAAGAACCCCTCTTGGAGCCCCTGCAGAGGGACCCCTCAGGGCCCCAAAGGGGTATCTCTAGGGCCCCAAGCGGGGGCCTTGAGGGCCCGAGAGGTGCGCCTTTCTCCCTCGAGGTCTCCCAGATGGGGTCCGAGTAGGTGTGCTCGGAGGATCGCGCCGCATCGCCGAGGCATCGCCGATGCGGCTCGAAGTGGAGCCCGATTTGATCCAGGCCGACGGCACCGATGCATCGCAAACGTCGCCGGTGCATCGACAATGCGTCGGCGATGCATTGCCGATGCGGCGCGATTCTCCGCCCCCATCTGCTCGGACCCCAGCTAGGAGGCCTCTACTCCCCCCTCCCCACTTATGCCCCCTCGTGAATCGACGCCCAAGCATCGGTGGCGAGCGGGGGGGAGAAGTGGGACGGGGCGGGCCTTCTCAGAAGGCTCGGAAGTCCCCAGGCTTTCTGAGGAGTTTCCTGGGCCCTCCCCGAGGACACAGCTAACTTCTCAGATGGCGTGAGGGCTTCCGAGAAGTCCGGCTACCTGCCGAGAAGGCCTTCTCCTTCTCGTTTTCCCCGTCGCTCGATCGCCGCCGAAAGCAGCCTCGGCTCTCCTCGACGCCTCGAGTAATGGGCTTATTTTCCACCACCACCACCATCACTATATGTTGGAGGTGGAGGGGGTCCTTCTCCTCCACCTCCTCCTCCTCCTTTTCGTCCTCCTCCTCCTCCTCCTCATCCACCTCCTTCCCCCCTCCAGCTTATGGTGGTGCTGGTGGAAATGCAGGCCCAGCATCGAGTGTGGCGGGCGACTGGAGGCAGCCGCCGGGGCCGGGGGAGGAGGGGGGGCCGGGGCCGCGCGCGGGCGCGCCCGCGGCCGAGGCCAGCGAGTCCGACTCCGACTGGGACCGCGAGGAGGCGGAGGGGGGGGGGGAGGGAGGCGGCGCGTCACCCCAACAGGCTCATACTGTGTGCGCGTCGCCCTCCCCCAGGGGCGACGCGCGCACCGAGGAATCTCTCACTGTATCTGCGTCGTGGCGGCCGCTGTCTGGCCACACCGCTCGGGAAAGGATGTACTACAAGATGGGTGCTCTATGTGTTCGGGTCGGACGCGCGCCACCAGGGTGGACATATAGTACTAGTATGTCTCTGCGCGTCCCAGGGAGGGGGTCGGTGGAAAATCGAGGGGGCCTGGTGTACCCTCTTAATTCCGTCTGCAGCGTCGACTGGCGTCGATTAGCGTCTTGGAGTCGATGAGATAGCGCCGATTTAGCGTCGATGAGCGTGGATTTAGCGTCGATTCGTGGCGATTAAGCGTGGATGCAGCGTCGATTAGCGTCGATCCGCAAGAGCCGACAATATGGTATCGGAGGCTCCAGTGAGTTGCCACCGAAGAGGGGTCTGTTGAGATCCTGGCGGCTCCATTTTTTCGGTCGTGACTCTTTGCGATGGCGCAATGTTTTGCAGCGTCGGATCTCAGGGGAGGTGCCCATGCCGCCAACCCTTCGCAGGTTCTCCCCTTCGTCGGGCCTGCTGGGAGGCCCTCGTCGCAGCCGCTGGGTTCGCCTCGCGAGTTCGCGGAGGTGTCGAGAGTCCTCCAGGGGCTCTCCGGAGAGGTTTGGGTATCTTTTCAAATGTTCAAGGAGGAAGAGGCGGTGGAGGTGGAGGTGGACGGGGAGCCAGTAGGAAAAGGATGGGATCCTCATGCTTCATGCGTGTAAGCGTTGTGGAGGCCACGACGGGTGGTCGCGTGACTTTTCGAGCCCCGTGACATTCACCGACCAATCCGATTCGAGAAGTGCGGTAGGCACGCGTTGTTGGATCAGAAGTTTTGTCGCGCATGTCTTTACAACGTCATGTGTGTGCGGCACGTTCTCCATCGATTCGTGGTCCGCTCACGTCACTGCGACAAACAGTGGGTGTGTGTGTGCGTGCGTGTGCACACTGGCTTCAGAGTGGGTAGGCCGCGTGCGTTTCCCGCTTTCCGCTCTGCGACTGTCTACGCATCGACGCTGCGCTCGAGGCCGCCACGCTCAAGCAAGTGCGTTGTTGTGTTTGTATGAGCGTCGTTGTTGCTGTTGTTGTTGTTGTCGTCGTCGTTCTTGTTGTTGTTGGTGTTGGTGTTGTTGTTGTTGTTGTCGTTGTTGTCTTTGTTGTCTTTATTGTTGCTTGTTGTTGCTGGCTCTGCTAGTGTCGCTCTTGTTGGCTTTATGATATGTTGTTGCTGTTGATATCGCTGTTGCTGCTGCTGTTGTTGTTCGCGACGTCCGTTCTCAGGGTCTGGTTCTACATTGAGGCCAGGACGCATGGAGGAACAGCGGATGACGAGGAGGAGCAGACGAGGTGAGTTGAGCTCGGGTTCAGGTGAATGCTTATTGTCAGCCTGGCACAGAAGTGGGAGGACCCCTCGATCCCTCCATCAACAGACGAATCATCCGTCTGACACCGCCTTGCACAGCGCCCCCATACCTCACGCCAGACGTGCTGCCGCTGATCGAAGGGGAGGAGGGGAGGAGGGGAGGAGGCGGGGACAGCAGTGGGCGAGCAGAAGAGCAGGTTTTGGGGAGCAGCATGTTTACATGCATCTGCATGTACAATGTGTAGAGAAAGACGGGACAAGCAGTGTGCGGAGTATCGGGAGCAGGGGCCAGAGACACCCAAGCGTCGAGGGGCGGAACCCTTACACACGTCAAGATCCTGGGACAAGGGCAGCACAATCACCGTCCATCGTCACCATCAGCACCAACACCTCCGTCGACACAGTCAACCACCATCGTGTCTGCCATCGCTGTAATCGCTGGTGGCCCTTCGCCGCTAGCGCCATGCATCCCCGCCGTCTCCGCAGACCGTCAGAGACTGGAACGGCAGGACGAAGCGCAGCACAGCCTTTCTGATGCACCGTGATGGCACGCGCACCGCTTGGAAGCATACCCACCACATCAGCACCATCCGGATCTCAGGCCCACCTCCAAGGCCACATCATCTTTATCCATACGCACATCTCATCGACCATACCTTACCACGTCCACAGTCTCGTCATCAGAAGAATCATGGTCACATCCATCATCATCATAAGCAACGTCGCCATCATCATCATCATCGTCGTCATCATCAGCAGCATCAGCATCATCATCGTCATCATCGTCAATAGCTTCATCATCACCACGATCAGCATCATCATCAGTATCATTACCATTATCAGTCCTTATCAGTACCGTCATCATTGTTGCATGTTCATCAGTACCGTCAGTAGCGGGATCATCACCATCATCAGCAGCATTGCCATCGTCACCATCATCAGCACGCAGTTTCATAACCATCGTGTTCATCATCATCATCATCATCATCATCATCATAACCACCGTGTTCGCAATCACCACCATCATCATCTTCCTCATCAGCATCGTCATCATCATCATCATCATCATCAGCAGCATCGTCATCATCATTCCCATGGTCATCATCATCGTCGTCATCGGCATTGCCAGCAGCAACAGCATCAGCATCATCATCATCATCATCATCATCACCATCATCATCATCATCATCATCATCATCATCATTATCAGCATCATCATCATCACCACCATCATCATCATTATCATTATCATCATCAGCATCAGCATCAGCATCAGCATCAGCATCAGCATCATCATCATTATCATCATCATCATCATCATCATCATCATCATCATCATCATCATCATCATCATCATCATCATCATCATCATCATCATCATCATTAGTATCATTATCCACATTCCCGCATCCACCGTCCACATCTTGGCATCCCCAGTCTGCCGCCGGCAACTGCGGCCCTCCTGCGGACCTGCACGCCGCCCGGAGCAATTTTTCCGCATCTGAGGCCCCGCGGCGGCGGCCGTGCCGCGCCCGAAGCAGCGGTGCCTGCAGAGCGATGGGCTCCGAAGGCGCCAGGGGGCAGAGCGCAAAGTGGCAGGGATCTGCTAGTGGTTCCCTCGAGTCCTCCTCCTCCTCCTCCTCCTCCTCCTCCTCCTCTTCATCCCCCTCCTCCTCCTCCCTCCAATAACTCAGCCTCCCTCTTCTGTCTCCTCCTCCGCCTCCTCCTCCGTGCTCGTCATCCTTCTCCTCCTTTCTCATCCTTCTTCCCTTCTCTCCTCTCCTTTTCCCGCGCGGGCCCTCGGCAAGCCCGCGCCGTTGTGGCGGGCTAAGACACTGGGGTAGGCCAGCGCAGGCCGCCGAACAAACGCTGGGCAAAGGCGAAGGCGAGAGGTTTCTTAAGGATCGACAAGACTCGACAGCCTCAGCGAGGCCCAAGAGGGCCCGAGATGGCTTAAAGATGGCCGAAGAGGGCCCCGAGAGGGCCTTCAAGATGCAAACATCTGACCATTCCCTTCGTGAAACGTATTTTTTCAGCATACTCGCTTGCTTCGTCTTCACAGTGCCCCAGACGCCCCCGAGGAGCCCCAACACAGCCCAAGAGAGACCCAAGATGGCTCAAGACGGCCCAAAAAGATCGCCCCATGGGGCTCACGAATTCCCCAAGACGGCCCAAGAGGCCCCGAAGCCGGCCCAGGAGGCCCCCAAGACGGCCGCAGGGAGGCCCAGAAGGCCTCGTTCGACATCATGTTCCCCGAAGCTTCTCTGGGAACATGACGTCCGGGCTCCCAGGACGCCCAGGAGGCCCACAAGACAGCCTCAGCGAGGCCCCAGAGGGCTCGAGTAGAAGGCCCCAAGAGGGCCTTCAAGAGGCAAACATCGGCCCATATCCTTTTAGCAAAACGGACAGGTTCAGCATACTCGCTTGCTTCGTCTTCCGAGTGCCCCGGACGCCCCCGAGGAGCCCCAAGGCAGCCCAAGAGGCGCCACAGGTCTGAGGGTTTGTCGGGAGCCCTCCCCGCGTTCCGACGAGGCCTGCCCCCCTCGCCTTCCCCCCCCCCCCCCCCTCCCCTCCCCCCCCCTCCCCCTCCCCCCTCCCCCCCCCTCCCCTCCCCCTCCCCCCCCTTCCCCCTCCCCCTGCCCCTCCCCCCCCTCCCCCTCCCCCTCCCCCTCCGCCCCCCCCCCCCCCTCCGCCTTCTCATGCTGCTGGCCTCGCCCCATCGAGGCGCACGCGGCCATGAGGGCGACGCGGAGGGCCCCGCCCTGCCGCAGGCGGCCCGCAGAGGGCCCAGGGGCGAAGCGGAGGACGAGGACGCGCTGCAGCGCACGAGCTCCACCGGGAGCTCCAGCCGCCTGCAGCTCCACCGGAGCCACAGCGCGACGTTCGCCGTGAGCAACTTCGCGGGACTCGGGGGGCGCCAGCCGTCCGCGGAGGAAAGAAGGTACTGGTGCTGCTGCCTCTGCCTCGTGCTCTTCTTTCGGGGCCTCCCGGGCGGCCCTCGTCGCCACCGCCGGATTCGCTTGGAAATCCTGGTCACAACGCGCCCCAGGAGAGGTCCCTGGAGTGGCGGCATCGGCAGTCTCGAATATCCGAAAGTCGTTTGTTGCATTGTGTTACCAGGCGGTGCTGCTTCGGTCCAGGGCCCGATTTCGGAGCACGGGCCATCGGTTTCTGATTTGTGGTCGTCGTCGTCGTCCTCGTTGGGGGAAGGGGTCGGGGGCTCTCGGGGCGCGGATTAACAGGGGTCTGTGCGTACAGCCCATTGGCTTGGCCAGGAAGTCGGGCCGGCCTGCCTACAGGAGGAATATCCAAAAACAGTCTCAAACATATTTTGGGGAGGATGTTTCGACAACTGCATAATTGTAACCATTTTTCATATATCTTTTCAGGTCCGCCTGTAGGGGGGCATGCCCGACCTAATTCGGGGGGTGCGCGAGAGTGGAAGCCTTCCACGACGTTCTAAGATGGCGACTGGGGTTCTAAGAGCGCACGAGGGTTTATCAGAGGCCCGACCGGCTCCCGAGAACCGAATCCTTCACAGAGACCTGCTGAGTTTTCTGAGAAGGCGCCTGCCGTCTGAAAAGCCCCTCCGCCCTCTTGGTGGCGCCTGGGTGCCGCCTGGGTGCCCTAGAAAGGAACCGCCTGGGTTCCATCCGCTTTCACTCGGAAGTTTCTTGTGATCTGTGAACTTCGGACATTTGGTGTTGAGTGAGTGAGTGAGTGATACTTAGAGAGAGAGAGAGAGAGAGACGGCGAGCGATGAATATACATATACAAATACAGATACATCTAGTATACATATATACATGTACATATACATATACATCTACATATACATATACATATGCATATGCATGTACATAAACATATACCTATACATATACATATGCATATACCTATACATATACATACATACATACATACACAGATACATGCAAACATACACACAATAGGCATATGTCCATACATACATACACATAACATTCCGTAATATATATATAGGCATGTATAAACATATATGTGTAGATATGTGTATCGAAATATACAGATATGTATGTGTGTGTGACCAGCATCGACATGTATATTTACGTCGGTATGCCGGTATGCTTATTGATATATTTGTATAAGTTTCCCAAACAGTGTTTGCAGCTCTAGGGTTTCTTACTTCGGTTACCCATCTCGGGACCCTCGCCGCAACATCGCCACCGTGCCGCCTGTCGCCGCCCGTCGCCGTCGCCGCCCGTCGCCGCCTTTCCCACCCGTCGCCGCCAGTGCCGCCCGTCGCCGCCCGTCGTCGTCTCCGCCAGTCGCCGCCACCCCCGCCCTTCGCCGCCCGTCGCCGCCCGTCGCCGTCGCCGCATCGCATACATTGCACCGCATAGACTGCATTACATTCGCTTTATCGCATACATTGCACCACATATATTGCACTGCGTAGATCGCACTACATGGGCTGCATCGCGCACATTGCACCACGCATAGATTGCATTACACAGGTTGCATCGCATACACTGCACCACATAGATTGCGCCGCGTAGACTGCACTACAGTGGTTGCATCGCATACATTGCACCGCATAGATTGCACCGCATAGGTTGCATTACACAGGCTGCATCGCATACAGTGCACCACATGTATTGCACCGCATAGGCTGCATTACATAGGTTGTACCGCATGCAGAGCACCACCACTAGTGCACCACATATATTCTAGCACATGGGTTTGATCGCATATATTGCACCACGCATATTGCACTACATACACTACATCACATAGGTTGCATCGCTTGATTAACGCCACACCTATTGCACCGCAAATATTGCAATAGCCTAATGTTTAGGGTCCATGCTGGCTAACATGTATAGGTATAGATGTCTAGGCATGTATGCATCTATGTGTGTACGCATATATATATATATATATATGTATATATACACGTGAGTAACATACCGACCCTGCGCCCAGGATTGTCATGATCAGGGTCCGCGCATGTGTACACGTCGGTCGTTGAAAGTAGGTGTTTTGGGATTTCCAGATCCCAATCTACTTTAGCCGCGTTCCTACTTTAGAGTCGAGTGCTATTCCCCCTTCCCTCCGCTTTAGGGGGCTGGCGGAAATCCAATCTAAGTTACATCCAACACCTTCATACTTGATGCTCCTGTCCACATTCTCCGACGGACGGGTACGCCTCGCGGATCCCCACCAGTCCGTTCAGATGCCCATGGGAGCTGACGGGAAAAGAGACGAAGTGGAGCATATAGAGAACAAAGCGGGCAACCAGGATAAACAGAGAGATCTTTGGGAGCAAGGGGGTTGGCATTGGAAGGCCTCTTCAGGCCGTCCCTTGGGCCCGCGGGGGGGCGAGGGGAGGAGGAGGAGGAGGAGGCGGAGGAGGAGGAGAAGGAGGAGGAGGAGGAGGAGGCAAACCGCCCCCTGGGGCCCTCGTGGGACGCTCTTGGGGCGCTCGTCGGGGCAGTCTAGAGGCCGTCTTGGGGCCCCCTCGGGGCTCTCTGGGGGCTCTCTCGGGGCCCTCTTGGGAGCCCTGGAGAGCCTCTTGGCGTCGGTGAAAAGAGAGGGGTTCTAACGTTTGGCCCTCCCTCTGGGGCCCTCTTGGGGGGGGACCTGAGGGGCCTCCGAGAGCACTTGGAATAGCTTTGTGGCCCTCGTCCGGCCTCTTGGAGGTATGTCGGAAGTTATATTAAACCATCTTCGGCTATCTTGAGCCGGCTTGAAGGCCATTTTGGAGCACTGGAGGCCCTCTTGGAGCCATCTTGGGCCATCTTGGACGCTCTGGCCCGATCGCGGCCGCCTCAATAACCCTCAGGGAGGGGAGGGGGAGGGTACCCCTCCCCGAAGGGAAGAGGGTTGTGGGACGAGGGAAGGAAGGCATCGCTGGACCGCCTCAGCCGAAAGGGCTGGTGGGATTACCGGGGGGTCGTGTTCACGCGGCGGGGCCCGGGATGATGATTAGGAAAACTTGGCGCGCGGAGGGCTGGCTCTTCCCCGCGAGCCCGATGCGGGCGACGGCCGCGGGCGCGGCCTCGAGGCGACTGCGCGAGAGACGAGGGCGGAGCCCCCGGCAGAGCAGAGGGGCAGGCGGAAGGTGCGGCCTGGATTCCAGGGCGCGATCTTGCGGATACGCGGTCGCACGAGTATTTTCCGCGCGGGGCAGCAGCAACAAAAACGCCCTGTATCCGCCCGGACGGCTGACGGGCCAGACGGAGCCGAAGCGGAGGGGCAGGAGGAGGGGTCAGAATGGGAAGGGAGGGGAGTTAACAGCAGCGGGATGCAATTACAACGACGAGCGGACAGGATCTGTATTTACCATGAGCTGCAATAGGAGATGGACGATGAGGAGGTGCAGTTGACGATGGAATAGGTGGTGTAGCAGACATAGCCATGGGATCTGACGTGTAGTTGCAATATTCCGAACTGCTGTTGTTTCTGCCAAGTGTTGTCCTAGAAGTTGTAGTCGGAATTCTGCAGCCCAGGGTGAGTTGTAGCAGGTGTTGTAGTGACAAGAGCTTCGTGGGAGCTGTTTCAGGGGCTGTAATTTGAGCTGGCTGTGATCTGAGATCGGAACCGTAGTAGGACATGTGGTAATAATACTTTCACTCGATACGGGTTAGCAGATGTAATATCAGGAGCTGCACCAAGGGATGAGTCGGAACCGTCGTATGCATAGGAACAGATACGATTCTTGGGCCCTAGTGGTAAATTGATAGGGCTCCTTGGCTTCTTTCGGATCCCAATTTGACCCAGTTGTATTTCAATAGGTCGAAGTCTAATCGCACTCCCCTGTCCCAGTAGGATGCCAGGATTCCAAATGCTCGACGCGGAGACCCCAGGAAGTTCATTCGGGTGTTTCATGCTTGAATTGCTCATTCGGGGGACTTCTTGCTCAAATTGCCGCTTCGCCCGTTTTCGTGTTGAAATAGCTCATTCGGGCGACTTCGTGTGCAAATTGCCGGTTCGCCCGCGTCCGTGGTCAAATTGTTAATTCGGGCAGCCCCGTTTTCAAGTTGCCGTTTCCCTTCCGTGCTGGAACTGTTCATTTGGGCGGTTTCGTGCTTAAGTTGCCGCTTCTGCCGTTTCCCTGGTCAAATTGTTCATTCGGGTGGTTTTGTGTTCAAATTGTTGTGTCGGCCGTCTTCGTGGTCAGATTTGTCGTCCGGGTGGTTTCGTGGCCAAATTGCAACGTCGCCCGTCTCCGTGCACGAATTGCTCATTCGGGCCCGTGTCTTCCTCGAGTTGCCGTCTCTTCCGTCTTTGTGTTCAACTTAGTTCAGTCGGGCGGCTTCATGTTTAAAGTCCTGCTTCGGCCGTCTTCACGTTTTTTTGTTCATTCGGGCGGTCCCTGTTCAGATTACCATTTCGGACGTGTCCAACTGAAACGTTTCACTCGGGCGGCTCCGTCCTCAAATTGCCGCTTCGGCCGTTGCCGTGTGAAATGGCTCGGTCAGGTTGTTTCGTGTTCAAGTTGTCGCTTCGGTCGTCTCTGTGCTCAAAGTGTTCGTTCGGGCGTGGTCAAATAATTGCTTCTGCCGCGTAGTGCTCAAATTGCCCATTCCGGCGGCTTGGCGCTTCGTGCTCTAATTGCCGGTTCGGTTGTCTCCGTGCTCAAATTGGTCATTCGGGCCGCGTCGTGTTCAAATTGCTGGCTCGGCCGTGTCCGTGCTCGATTCGCTCATTCGGGCGATTCATGCTCAAAGTGCTGTTGATGTTGGTGGTGTTGGTGGTGCTGTTGTTGTTGTTGTTGTTGTTTAACTCTCAATTCTTAACAGCAAGTTCTGTTGATCCCCTTCTCTCATCCAGTAACATATGTGTTGTCTCAATTGAAGTGTCCCTCCCGGGTTTCGCTGTGCTGCTACCCGGGAACATCTTCTTGCTCAAACTGTGCCATTGGCCCCCGGGCTACAACAATAACGGTCCCGCCTGATATCTCTTCGCAGTTAATCGAGGAATCGCGTTCTCGCAAGGGACTTGCTTACAATTTATCCAGGGGTCGCGCTCTCGCCTGCGACGTCCTCGCAATTTATTCAGGCGCCACGCCCTCGCAATTCAGGAGTCGCGCTCTCGCTTGCGACTTTCTCATCGTTGTCTTAGAAATCGCGCTCTCGCCCGAGACTTCTGGGCGAATTATGCAAGTTGGTCCAATTGAAGTGCCCCTTCCGGGGCTCGCTGTTTTTTTCCCGGGGAAATCTTTGTGCTCAACGTACCTGTGCCCCGGGCCCCCGGTTTGCAATAACAATTGCTCCCGCCTGATATTTCCCTCCAGTTTATTCCCAAATCGCGCTCTCGCGAGGGACTGCCTCATAATCTACTGCAGGGGTCACGGTTTCGCGTGGGACACCCTTGATGTTTATTCAGACGCCACGCCCTCGACGCTCAGGAATCACGCTCTCGCTGTGGATGTCTTAAATATGTATTGGGGGATCGCGCTATCGCTCGAGACTTCCACGCGACTCATGCAGGACGCACGCTTTAGCAACCCGCCTGCTCGACCATGCCGTCTAAGCCCGCCTTCCCGACCCGCCTGTTAGGGTCGATCTGCCCGTCTGGTCCTGTGACGTTGTTTCTGCTCTTTTCTATCGTGCTCCATCTTGCGCCCTCCCGCTTGCCCCTTCCTTCCATCCGTCCTCTCCTTCCCTGCCTTAGGGGCTGCACGAAGTGCACACATTGCTGGTCAGAAATATACACCCCGAAGGGGGTACGATCGAAGACGAAGAGGACGGGTATCGAGGGTTTGGGATATACGTGTTAAGTGGCACGTGAGCAGGGAAGAGCGAACAATATTGACATGATTATTGTTGTTGATGTTGTTGATGTTACAGTCGTTAAAGGAAAATTGTTTCGAGCGTACTCTGATGCCGGTTTAGCTCGCGGTGGTGTTGGAGGTTCATGTTTTTAGTTGGTGTTTTTTGTTGTTGTTGGGGTGGTTTGTTGTTCTCTCATTCCCCAATCAGAGCTTGCCTCTGTAGGGGTCCAAGCGGATTCATATGGTCAGGTGAGGTTTGTCATTGATTTCCGCGTCCCGCCCGGGTGCCCAGGTGCCTTTTTGCTCTATAGCCCTATAGCCCCATAGCCCCATAGCCCAATGGCCCGGTAGCCCTATAGCCCTATCGCCTTATAGCTTGTTGGCCGTATAGCTCTATAGTCCTATCGCCCTAGAGCCCTATAGCTCTATAGCCCTGTAGCCCTACAGCTGTATAGCCCGATTGTCCTATAGCCTTATAGCATCTTACCCTTATAGCCCTATAGTCCTATCGCCATAGAGCCCTATAGCTCTATAGCCCTACAGCCCAAGAGTCCTATAGCCCCACAGCCCTGTAGCCCTATACCCTGTAGCCCAATAGCCCAATAGCCCTATAGCCCTATATCACAATAGCCCTATAGCCATACAGCCATATAGCCCTATAGCCCTACAGCTCTATAGATGCCTATAGCCCCGTAGCCCTATAACCCTATAGCCGTATAGCCCTATGGTCGTATAGCCCCACAGCCCTGTAGACTCATAGCCCTGTAGCCCCACTGCCCCACAGACCCATAGCCCCATAGCCCTATAGCCCTATAGCCCTATAGACCCATATCCCTATGGCCCTGTAGCGCTACAGTTCCATAGCCTCATATCCCCATAGCCCAATCGCCCTACAACCCAATAGCGCTATAGCCCTGTAGCCCTAAAAAGACTTTGATCGCCTTTTCTCTCCGGTTTCATGTGTGAAGTCATATGGGTTGGTTGTTCGCAATTGTGAACACACTTTAGTTTGGTTCGAAATGAGTGAGCGAGTAAAAAGTTCCACTAGTTCCCGTAAGTTTTGCAACGGGTCAGGACAGTTTTGTGCCAATCGTTCCCTCCCCATGATGTTAGTAACCGTCATCTCGCATTACATGTGGCGCCCTGCCAGGATCACCAGTGGAGCAGCTCTCCCGCGTGTTGGCCGCGGACGAGGACCGCAGTGGAGTGTGCTCGCGGGCTCGGTTGCTTGGTCGAGTGGGGCAACGGGCAACCCTCTGCCAAAGACGCCCTCGCCTGCCTCGTTATCATCATCCTCTCCCTCATTGGCGCCCTCCTCCTCCGTGCGCTCGCTCCTCATCCTCCTCCTCCTGCACTCCCAGCATCGTTTTCTCCGTCTGCCTTCTCATCATCCGTGTATGTCCTTGTCCTCGTATCTATCTCCCTCATCCCCGTCCCTCTCCTCGCTCGTCGCCTCCTCCGCTTTACCTCGCTCGACCTCATCATGCTCATCCTCGCGCTCCTTCCCGTCCTCTTTCTTCTTATCCTGCTCCTTTCCGCCACCAGCTTTTCGCCAGTCGCAGATCACAGCAGGGCCTCTCAGTAGCAGTTTGAGCTGTATCGAGGCTACGCCCAAACTCCACGAGTCCGACCTCCCCTTCCTCCGCGACTGCCTGCCCTGGTTCGGGTGCAATTCCTCGGGGATTGAATTCAGCATCGTCGCCGTGAAAGCAGTGGTCGAGGCACGGTCGAATCCGGCATAACCCCGTTCAATATTGCCTAACACGGCTTATACAAATGTGGGCGCAGTCCAGGTGAATTTGGTTCAGTGGCCGCTTGATCATGGAGGAGGAGGAGGAAGATGGAGGAGGCCTCTGAGTTCTCATGGTGTGCATACGGGCGCTCCTTTCCTCGGCCGGGCGGGGGCGCGTGCGCCGTGCCAGCCTGCCGAGCCTCTCGCGCCTCCCTTTGGCCTGCTCTTCCGCCTGCTCGTCGAGGAGCTCACCACAGTTCACACGCCGATGAACGGGGCTCCCCCAGCGTCCTGTCCCCTCGCGGGGCTGTCTTTTGTCTAAGACTTCTTATCCTTGTTATTAGTGTTCCTAGTATGATTGTTATGATGGTGTTGATGCTGAGGATGAGGATGATGATTAAGACGACAATGATAAAAACGATGCTGGTCATGTTTATGATGATGAGTATGAGCATGTATTTCATGATGATGCTTACTATGATGATTTGCATTCTCATTATTGTACGAAGTGTCGTCTTATGTCAAGAGTAGTAGTAGTACTGGTAATAGTAGTAGTTGTCGTCGTCGTCGTCGTCGTACTCGTACTCTTCGTAGTGGTAGTAGTAGTAGTAGTAGTAGCAGTAGTAGTAGTAGTAGTCGTCGTCGTCGTTGTCGTCGTCGTAGTACGAGTAGTAGTAGTACTAGTAGTAGTAGTAGTAGTAGTAGTAGTAGTAGTAGTAGTAGTAGTAGTAGTAGAAGTAGTAGTAGTAGTAGAAGAAGAAGAAGGAGTGTTAGTAGTACTAGTATTAGGAGTATTATTAGTAGTAGTAGTAGTCGTCGTCGTCGTCGTCGTCGTCGTCGTGGTCGTCGTCGTCGTCGCAGTCGCAGTAGTAGTAGTAGTAGAGTAGTAGTAGTAGTAGTAGTAGTAGTAGTAGTAGTAGTAGTAGTAGTAGTAGTTGTAGTAGTCGTAGTAGTAGTAGTAGTAGTAGTACTTGTTGTTGTTTTTGTAGTAAGAGTGGTAACAGTAGCAGTCGCAGTAGTAGTGGTAGTATGAGTAGTAGACGTAGTAGTAGTAGTAGTAGTAGTAGTAGTAGTAGTAGTAGTAGTAGTAGTAGTAGTAGTAGTAGTAGTAGTAGTCGTAGTAGTAGTAGTAGTAGTAGTAGTAGTAGTAGTAGTAGTAGTAGTAGTAGTAGTAGTAGTAGTAGTTGTATTAGTAGTAGTAGTAGTCGTGGTGGTGGTGGTGGTGGTAGTAGTAGTAGTAGTGGTCGCCGTAGTAGTAGTAGTAGTAGTAGTAGTAGGCGTTGTATCAGCTGTAGGACTAGTAGTCGCAGGAGTAGTAGTAGTAGTAGTAGTAGTAGTAGTAGTAGTAGCATTTGTAGTAGTAGTAGTAATAGTAGTAATAATAGTAGTCGTCGTAGTAGTAGTAGTAGTAGTAGTAGTTGTAGTAGTAGTAGTAGTAGTAGTAGTAGTAGTAGTAGTAGTACTTACGCAGGACGAAAGATTTTCCTCTTGAGGTGCAAATGGCCATGAGGAGTTCGCAAGACAACGTCGGCACCGGAACGGACGGCGACCAGACGAGCTGTTTGCAGCAACCGGGGTGAGAGGGATGTATGTATTCATTTCGAATGGGACCCGCGCGCGCGGGGAGCTGGTGGGTGTGCGCGAGACGACGCAACGCCCATCGTGGAGAGTTAATTGCCGAACCCCCCATCCCCCGTAGAATCTTAACACGGGCGGTTTGCGGGGTCCGCGGATCCGATTTCTTCCGGTTCCCTGTTTTAATTTAATTGTATAAATTTTAAAAAGGGTAGAAATTGGATCCGCCGTGGAAAATAAGACCGAACACGGATCCAGCAAATCCGAAATCGGATCCGCGCGGACAGAAATCGGATCCACCGAAACACACCAAAACCAAAATTGGATCCGCGCGGCCTTCATTGGATCCGACGGCGGGTATCTCACACGCGTCTGCTTCGGACTTCAAACTTTCGTTCCGGGCCCAAGAGGAAAACACTTTCGTCCTGGGGATGTAGTAGTAGTAGTAGTAGTAGTAGTAGTAGTAGTAGTAGTAGTCGTAGTTGTAGTCGTAGTACTAGTAGTAGTAGTGGTGGTAGCAGTAGTCGCCATAGTCGTAGTCGTAGACGTAGTCGTAGTCGTAGCCGTAATCGCCGTAGTAGCCGTAGTTGCTGTAGTACTAGTAGTACTAGTAGTAGTAGTAGTAGTAGTAGTAGTAGTAGCAGCAGCAGCAGCAGGAGCAGCAGCAGTAGTGCTCGTACGATCGATCTTCGAAGTTATCATAATGACATTCGTCTTAAGATTTAAATGTTCCGTTTCTCTTTCTGCTTACTATATTCTACAGGCTTACGCCACATCCGCCGACCCCTTCTTCACGAAGGGAACGGGCCATTTTTTGCGCCGAGGGGCCCTCCTGGGACGCATCTTGGAGGCCTCTTGGGGCCTCTTGGGGCCGTCTTGGGCCGTCTGGAGGCGATCGTCGGTGTCTTTGATCGCTCTTCGACCGTCTGTGACCATATTGAGCTCTCTTGGAGGCCACTTGAAGCGCTCCTGGAGCGCTCTTGGGGCCGTCTTCGGGGCCCTCTTGGGCAATCTTGGGCGCCTCTTGGGCTGTCTTGGGGCTCTCTTGGGCTGCCTTGGAGCTTCCCTGGAGGCTGCTTGGACCGTCTTGGGGCGGTATTTAGGGCCTCTTGGGCCGTCTGGGAGCGTCGGAAAGCCCAAAAAGCGAATTCGTGAAAAATGTACGTTTTACGAAGGGAATGGGCCAATTTTTGCGTCTAGGGACCCTCGTGGGACGCATCTTGGAGGCCTCTTGGGGCCTCTTGGGAACCTCTTGGGCCGTCTTGGAGGCCTCTTAGCCCGTCTTTGAGCCATCTTGGGCGTCTTGGAGCGCTCGTTTGGCGTCTCGGGGCTCCCGTGGGCCGTCTGGAAGGCCTCTTGGGGCCATCTTGGCCCGTCTTGAGGCTTCCTGGGGCCCGGAAAAGCCCCGGCGGCGCTCGTCCCGGGCCCGGGGGGGGCGCTCGTCCCGGGCCCGGGGCGGGGCGCTCGTCCCGGGCCCGGGGGGGGGGGGTCAAATCGCTGGTTTGGGGTCCCGGGGGGGGGACTATAGGGGGGGGGAACTATCTCACACGCCTAGAGACCCACAAGGGGTCGGCGGATTCTATGATAGTCTTATCATGCTTTTTCTGGTCCATACTCCTCGTACTCTTGTTTGTTTATATTATTCTTGTCATTTTTTATGTTTTTATTCCTATTATTCTTTCTCGTCCTCTTCCCTGTCCTCCACGCCTCGGCTCCTGCCCGCCCCCCCCCCCCCTCCCGAGGGGAGGAGGGCAGAGGGAGGGGGAGGAGGGAGGAAGGCCGGGGGGGGGGGAGGGAGGAAGGAGGGGCGGGAGGACGAGCAGGGGGGCGGGGGCAGGGAGGGAAGGAGGGGAGGAGGGAGGGAGGGACGCGGGGAGGCAGGGAGGCAGGGAGGGAGGCGGGAGGAGGGGAGGTGGGGAGGGAGAGGGAGGGGAAAGAGCCCCATCCCCTCCTGCCCCCTCCCCGCCCTGTCAGGGCTCTTTTCGATTCCTCCGACTCGATTCGATTTCGATGGATTCCGATTTCGTTTCGATTCGATTTCGGATTCCGATTTGGTTGCCGATTCTTGGGCTTACGCCGCACCGCCGACCCTTTGGGGGTTCTTGGTAGGCTTTTCGGGGGCCTCCTGGCAGCACTCTTGAAGCCTGTGTGGGCCGTTGTGGGGCCTCTTTCGGGCTTCTGGTCGGCCTTTTGGAGCCTCTTGGGGGCGTCTTCGGGACTCCTTGTGGCCTCCTGGAGGCTGTTTGGGGCCGAGGGCTCGAAATTTCCGTTCGGGTCCCCCGCCTTGGCCTTTTTTTGCGTTTCTGGATGATTTTGGCTTCTGGTAGCCCCCTTGGGACGCCTTTTGGGGGCCTCTTGGGCGTCTCGGGGGCCTCTTGAGCCGTCTGGGGGCCATCTCGGGCGTCTTGGAACGATCCATCGGCGACTCGGGGTCCTCTTGGACCATCTTGTGGGCCTCTTGGGGCCCTCATGGCCCGTCGTGAGGCCCGTGACGCGTTCATCCCAGGCCGGCCGGACCCCCCCCTCCAAACCGACCCGACCAGGCCCCGCGGGGAGGGGCTTTCGCAAGCTAGGTGCGCTCGCGTCATGTCTGACATCCTACCCCTCCCTCCCACCCTTACTATGGCGTAGATCCCCTCTCTACTCGCACAGTCGGATGTCGAGCAGGGCAATGATCCCGAAAGGGTACGCGATGCATTGTAGATCACGGCATGGCATGGCGTAGAAGAGCACCGCAAAGCGTATCATCAACCTAGCATTGCATTGCATGCCGTGGCATGGCACGGGAAATGACGCTAGCGCTGCAGCGGGAGCACGAGTCGAAACGAGCGGAAGCGCGGAAATGAGGCCAGCGTTGCAGCGGGAGCACGATTCGGAACGAGCGGAAGCACGGAAATGAGGCCAGCGCTGCAGCGGGAGCACGATTCGGAACGAGCGGGGCCCGAAAACGAGGCCGGCGCCTCAGCGAGGACAGCATGTTGAAGCAAGATGCAGGCGGAAACCCAACTCCGGGGAAACCTGTTGTGCAAAAAAAAGCAGTACGCGGGGGGGGGGGGGGGTCGAGCACCTTCAAACCGTCATCAGGGGAAGAGGGAGACTAGTATTCACATTGAGTAGTTGTGGAGGGGGAGGCATCTTACACGCCGATGACCCCGAGGGGTCGTCGGATGTCTCCACGGAGGCCCCGCGATCGCCGAGCCGGCTTCTCGACCATCGGCCCCTGGCCGGGGCCCCCCCGCCGCAGGAGGCGCAGGCCCGCATGCTGCAGTGCCGGGGCATCCGGGACCCGGAGTTCGTGGCGCGGCTGCGGAGGACCCGCGCCGCCCGCGCAGCACGCGGGCCGGGCCTCCCCCTCCTGCTCCTCTTCCTCCTCCTCCTCCTCACCCTCCTCCTCCTCCTCTTCCTCCTCCTCCTTAATTTCGTCCTCCCTCTACTCCTCCTCCTCCTCCTCCTCGTCCTCCTCCTCCTCCCTCGTCCTCCTCACCCCCCCGCCGCCCGGCGCGTCATGCCCTCGGAGGAGGGCCCCGGGGGAGCGCAGGGGCCTCGCGTACCGATCGGAGCGCGGGCTCGCCTGGCGTTGTTGCGCGAGCGCGGCCCCCTTGGTCTGTGGCGGGCCAGTCTTCTTTGCCACCACCACAGGCAGGACGGGAGAGAGGGGAGGACGGGGAGGTTCTCCTCGTCCTCCTCATCCTCCTCCCCCTCCCATGAAGGGATCGGCTCGGTTCGGTTCGGTCCGGTTCTGCAGCCGGGTCGGTTTTGCTTGGCCAGTTCGGTTTGGCATCGGTCCGGTTTCGGCCGGTTCGGCTTGGGCCTGCCGCTGGTTCGGTTCGGTTCCGGTTTCGCGCGGTTGGGTCCGACCGGTGGTAGTGACGGTGGTGGAAGCCTGGCCCATCAGTGTGGACGGTCCGGTATGTCTGGGGCGTTTTCAGCGGAAGGCTCGCGTCAGGCTTCAAACGGGGCCTCGTCGTTTTCCTGACGGTCCCGTCTGGCCAAGCCGAGTCCCCCGAGCCCGAGTCTCACATCTCCCCGAAGGAAGACATCGTTGCACGCCAGTCGTTGACAGTAGGTATCGAACACGCCTACGGCGAATCACCGCCGCCCCCTGCCCATTCGGAAGCGCCTATGTGGCTGAACGTTGTGGCCAGAGGCCTGCCAAGCTATCGAACCATGTGTTCCCCGAATCGGTTTGAAAAGATTTCGGGGAACACGTGGGGGAGGATGAACATGAAGAGGAAGAGGCCTCTTGGGCCGTCTTAAGCCGTCGGAATGGCGAGAAGAAACAAATGCTAACATCCTTGAAACACTCAGGGAAAATTAATAATTTTGGTCTCTTCGGGCCCTGTTGGAGGACCTCTTGGAGGCCTCTTGGGCCGTCTTGGAGGCCTTTTGGGGGCCTCTTGCGCCGTCTTGGGCAATATTGACGACATGTTAGGCCGTCTTGGAAGCATCTTGGGCCGTCTTGGAGGCATCGTGGGGGGAGAAGCTATCGGACCATGTGTTCCCCGAGTCGGTTTGGAAAGCCTTCGGGGAACATGTGGGGGAGGAAGAGGAAGAGGAGGAGAAGGATGAAAAAGGAGAAGGGGGAGGATGCCTCTTCGGAGCCTCTTGAGGCACTCTTGAGCTCGATTGGGCCATCTTGGGACCGTCTTGGAGGCCATGCTGGTGCTATCCTGGGCTCTCTTGGAGCCTCTTGAGGGCCTCTTGGGGCCTTCTTGGGACTTCTCGGGGGCCTCTTTGGCCGTCTTGGGGCGTTCCTGGCCCGTCTGACGCCGTCGGGAGCCGTCTTGGGGGCCTCTCTGAACCAGCTTGGGGCCCTCTTGGGGCGCTTCTGGGCCGTCACGGAGGCCATCTTGGGCGTCTTGGAGGCCTCTTGGCCCGTCTTGGGGCCCTCTTGGGGCCGTCTTGGGGGCCCTTGTGCCATCAAGAGGCCAGCTTGAAGGCCTCTTGGGCGATCTTGGGACGATATTGGGGGCCTCTTGGGCCGTCTTGAGCCGTCCGAATGCCGAGAAGAAGCAAATGCCAAACATCCTTCAAACACCTAAACAAAACAATGATTTTGGCCTCTTCGGACCCTCCTGGAGGACCTCTTGGAGGCCTCTTGGGTCGTATTGGGCCGTTTTGGAGGCTTCTTGGACGAACTTGGAGATAATTTGGACTTTGGGCCGTCATGAGGCCGTCTTGGACCATATTGGGCGGACTTGGAGGCCATCTTGGAGGTCTCTTGGGCCAAGGTGGCCATCTTAGAGGCCATCTTGAGCTGGCTTGGAGGATTTTTTTCGGATTAAGGTCCTTTCCGGGTGGCCGGCGGGACGCGCCAGAGCCCCAAGGGGAGTTCTTTTTTGGAAAAAGAACCAAAAACAAAAACGATTGGATTTGGAACGCCAGGCACTCCTCTTGCAAGCAACAGGGGGCGTCTGATCGAAGACGCCTACGGAGAATCACCGCCGCTCCCTGCCTTTTTGGAAGCGCCTATGTGGCCGAACGTTGAGGCCAGACCTGCCAAGCTATCGGACCATGTGTTCCCCGAATCGGTTTGAAAAGATTTCGGAGAACACGTGGGCATCTTGAAGGTCATCTTGGCCGTCTGGAGGCCATTTTGACCCTTTCGGGCCTTCTTGGAGGGCTCTTGGGCTGTCTTGGAGGCCATCTTGGGCGTCTTGGAGGCCTCTTGGGCAGTCTTGGGGGCCTCTTGGGGCCGTCTTGGGCCTCTTGGGCGATCTTTGGGGGCACCTGGACCGTCTCGGGCCGTCGGAAGGCCGAACAAAAAGCAAATGCCACAGTCCTTCAAAAACCTCCGGAAAGTAAATGATTTTGGCCTTTTCGGGCCTTCCTGGAGGCCCTCTTGGAGGCCTCTTGGGCCGTCTTGGGCCATCTGAGGGCCATCTTCCGCCGTCTTGGTGGGTTCCTGGCCCGTCCGACGCCGTCGGAACCCGTTTTGGGGGCCTCTCTGGGCCGACTAGGGGCCCTCTTGGAATGTTCCAGGGCCGTCTTGGAGGCCATCTTGGGCGTCTTGGAGGCCTCCTAGGCCGTCTTGTTTGGGCCGTCTTGGGGGCCTCTTGGGCCGTTTTGGGGCCATCTTGGAGGCCTCTTGGGCGATCTTTGGGCGATCTTTGGGGACTCTTGGGCCATCTCGGGCCGTCGGAAGGCCAAAAGAAGCAAATGTCAAAATCTTTCAAAGACTCATGGGGAAGCAGCGTTTTCAGCATTTGATTCGCCTTCCTGGAGGCCCTCTTGGAGGCCTCTTGGGCCGATGTCAAAATCTTCCAAAGACTCATGGGTAAGCAGTGTTTTCAGCATTTGATTCGCCTTCCTGGAGGCCCTCTTGGAGGCCTCTTGGGCCGTCTTGGGCCAGCTTCGAGCCAACTTCGGCCATCTTGGTGGGTTCCTGGCCCGTCTGACGCCGTCGGGACCCGTCTTGGGGGCCTCTATGAACCGACTTGGGGTCCTCTTGGGGCGCTTCGGGGCCGTCTTGGAGGCCATCTTGGGCGTCTTGGAGGTCTCTTGGGCCGTCTGGGGGCCCTCCTGGGGCTGTCTTGGGGGTCTCTTGGACCGTCATGGGGCCCTCTTGGAAGCGTCGTGGGCGATCTTGGGGCGATCTTGGGGGCCTCTTGGGCCGTCTTGAGCCGTCGGAAGGCGGAAAAGACGCGAATGCCAATATCCTTCAAAACCCTCAGGACAATCAATGATTTGGGCCTCTTCGGGCCCTCCTGGAGGACCTCTTGGAGCGTCTGGGAGGCCTCTTGGGGGCCTCTTTGGCCGTCTTAGGCCATTTTGAGGCTATCTTAGGCCGTCTTGGGTGCATCTTGGGCCGTCTTGGAGGCATATTGGGACCATCTGAGCCGTCTTGGCAGCCATCTTCGGCCATCTTGGGGCCGTGTTTGGCAGGAAAACCGTTTGCAACCGGGTCTTTCGGGTGGCCGTCGGGATGGGCCGAAGCCCCAGGGGGAGTTCTTTTGGAAAAAGAACCAACACCAAAACCGTAAAAATCTAGCACACCGGGCACCCTTGTGGCAAGCCAACAGGGGGCGGCGGATCGAAGACGCCTACGGCGAATCACCGCCGCCCCCTGCCTTTGTGGAAGCGCCTATGTGGCCGAACGTTGAGGCCAGACCTGCCAAGCCATCGGACCATGTGTTCCCCGAATCGGTTTGGAAAGCCTTCGGGGAACACGTGGGCGTCTTGATGGTCATCGTCGCCGTCTTGGAGGCCTCTTGGGCGATCTTTCGGCGATCTTTGGGGGCTCTTGGGCCGTCTCGGGCCGTCGGAAGGCCGAAAAAAGGGAAATGCCCAAATCCATCAAAAACCTTGGGAAAATCAGTGATTTTGGCATCTTTTGGCCTTCCTGGAGGCCCTCTTGGGGGCCTCTTGGGCCCTTTTGGGCCAGCTTCGAGCCAACTTCGGCCATCTTGGTGGGTTCCTGGCACGTCTGACGCCGTCGGGAGCCGTTTTGGGGGCCTTTCTGGGCCAACGGGGGACCCTCTTGGGGCGCTCCAGGGCCGTCTTGGAGGCCATCTTGGGCGTCTTGGAGGCCATCTTGGGCGTGTTGGAGGCCTCTTGGGCCGTCTTGGGGCCCTCTAGGGGCCATCTTGGAGGCCACTTGGGCCATCAGGGGGCTCTCTTGGGGGCCTCTTGGGCGATCTTGGGGGCTTCTTGGGCCGTCTTGAGCCGTCGGAGAGCCGAAAAGGCGCAAATGCCAAAATCCTTCAAAAACCAATGGGAAAATCAATGATTTTGGCCTCTTCGGACTCTCCTGGAGGACCTCTTGGAGGCCTCTTGGGCCGTCTGGGAGGCCTCTGGGGGGCCTCTTGGGCCGTCTTGGGCCGTCTTGGACTCTCTTGGGCCGTTTTGGAGGCCGTCTTGGACCATCTCGGGCGGACTTGGAGGCCATCTTGGGCCATCTTCGCGATTTTTTGAGGATGTCCCGAGCGAAACGGCCGTTTTTGGAGGATTTGTTTCCGGATTGAGGTCCTTTCGGCTTCCTCCCGGGACCCCGGCGGGACCTGCCGGAGCCCACTGGGGAAGTTCTTTTGGAAAAAGAACCTGAAACGTCCAGCACGCCGTGCACCCCTGCAAGCAGGGGGCGGCGGATCTAATGGTCTTCGGCCCATCCCGCCATCGTGCCTGGATTGTGGGTATCACGCCTGTCGGATGTTCGTTGGGACATCGTGCGGGGCCTCTCGGGGGCCTCTTGGAGGCAATTTGAGGCTTCTTGGTAGCTTTTTTTGCCTCTTGGGACCTCTTGGGGGCCTCTTGGGTCCTCGAAAGTAGGTATCTTTGGATGCCCAGATCCCAATATGCTTCGGGCGCCTTCCTCCTTCAAGAGTCGAGCGGCTTTCCCTCCTCCCTCCTCTTCAGGGGGAGGGCTGAAGCCCAATCTACAGTGGAGGCCCATGCCAAGGAACACCCTGCTCGCCTCCAGGGCGACCTTGTTTTTTTCGGTTTCGATGGTTTTGCTATGGAAAGGTTGACGCTCCCACACCACAAATCAAGGGTCCCCCTGGGGTCTCAGGGTTGGGTTTCTTATGGAATGTTTCTTGTGGACTAGCCTCCACTGTCCTTCCTCTTCAAGGGGAGGTTGGAAACCCAATCTACTTCCAACGCCTTCGTGCTTCATGTTTCTGCCCACTTCTGCCGACCGACGGGTGCAGCTGCTCGTTCCGGAGGCGCTCGAGTTTGTCGGACGTTCTCCCGGGTTCTCGTCGGTCTTCCAGGCTCGGGATGCTCTGCAGCAGCTGCGCTACGCCGAGAGCGCTGCGGGAGTGCCCAGATCGTCCCGAGTGGCCGCCGGAGAGCCGAGTCTCGACCCGAAGAGCCGATCTGCGACCGAGTGCCGATGCCGCTGCTCTTGCCTCGATTTCGCCTGTTCGGGTCTCCTGGGAGACCCTCGTCGCCACGGCTGGATTCCCCTCCAAGACATGGTCACAACGCACCCCAGAAGAGGTCCAGGGAGTGGCTGTATCGGTAAGTCGCGCATGTCTCTTTACATGGGGAGTATTCATCTTCAAGGGGCGGTTTTGCTGACTATGTTTGAATATCTTTGCACCCCCGTGGCCACTGCTGGTTCCCCCTCCAAGACACGTTCAGAACGCACCCGGGAAGAGGTCCAGGGAGTACAGTAGGGGTCTTGAAGAAGGAACCCTTTTTGTTGGGGAGGGGCTCGGCGTTCCTTGATTGTTCTACAGTTCGCCTTGGGTTGTCCCTAGGGCTTCCATGGGAAATCGAAGTTTATCTCATGGGAAAAAGGGGCCTCGTTCCTTGTTCAGGGTTCCTTAGGTCAAGGCCCCGACTGTAGCTGGGGGTCATAAATGGAGGGGTGGCGAGGGTGGTTCGAAGAGGTACCCAAACGGTACCTAAACGAGGCCCCCTGGGGCTCTGAAGGGGCCCGAAAGGGACACGAAAGGGGACCTTTTCTGACCCCCCCATGTGTGACCCCCCCATTAAGCCACGCCCAATAGCTGTAACCGTACTTTCTTGGCTCCCGGCCCCGAGCCCTCCTGCCGAGGACGGCAGTGGTGGAGAGCACGACGCGGGGGAGAGCGCGACGGGGGGGAGCACGACTGTGGGGGGGGGGACGACGAGGGGGAACACAGCGAGGAGGGAGGAGGAGGAGGAGGAGGAGGAGGAGGAGGAGGAGGAGGAGGAGGAGGAGGAGGAGGAGGAGTAGGACTTCCTCACCCGTCTCGTCATCTCCCTCCTCCTCGCACCCCTCCCCGTGTACGTCTCGTCATGTCTGACAACCGCTCATCACCCCAACCGAGCTGACCTCATTGTCCTCCGTTCTCCTCACCTCTGCTTTTCCTCATCCTCCTCCACTCTTCTTTGCCTTTCGAGGGCAACGCTGAAAGAGCTAAACACATCCAGACATCGCTCCAGCTTCCTTCAACTCTAGCCCTGCCTCGTTCCCTTCAGTTCGTTTTGTCTTCCACTTACATCTGTTCCGTTCCCCCGCTTGGCATTCCTCTCCTTTTTCATGTCACCTTGCTCTGCCCATCCCATCCCCCTCCCCAAGTGTCCATCCCGCTCTCCGCACCTGTCCTGCGCATACCTCCCCCCGCCGTCCATTTCCTGGGGGTCCCATCAGATCCCCCGATGCCCCTGGAGATCACCAGGAGCCTCCGGAAGGACGCCTCCAGAGGTCGAACTCTGGCTGGCCAACAGCTTCCTATATCAGCCTCGGCGCTCGACCCGGGCCTGGGCGGCGGCGGCGGCGACGAGACGGTCCCCCCAAGGAGTTGCACGCTGTGCCAGCGCGCGGCGCTGCTGTACCCGAGGAACTCCGAGCTGGCGGTCTCGTTCAACGGGGGCGAGCAGGGGCGGCGGCAAGGGGGGGGGGAGACTGGCCCATGATGGGCCAAGGCTCCACCACCGCTAGGAGGAGGCGGAGGGCCGCGTGTGTCTCCACGGGGGCGGGCGTCTGGGAGGCGACGGGGCCGGGGCCCAGGGGCCCCAGGGCCGGGGCCGGGGCCGCGGCCAATGCCGGGGCTGGGTCCTGGGCCCTGGGCGGCAGCTGGGGTGTTTTTCAGGTGACGGCAGTCTCGGTTAGTGGAGTGGGGCGGGGGGGGGGGCGTTCCCCAGTTCACATCACCAAACCAGGTCCCATTAAACCCAGTCTTGCCAACGCCCGATAGGAAGAGGAGGAGAGGGAGCAAGAGGATAATGAGGAAGAGCACAAGTAGGAGGAGGGCGAGGAGGAGGAGGAGGAGGAGGAGGAGGAGGAGAAGGAGCAGGAGGAGCAGGAGAAGGACGGGGATGGGGGAGGAGGAGGAGGAGAAGGAGGAGGAGGAGGAGGAGGAGGAGGAGGAGGAGGAGGAGGAGAGGATGAGGATTGAAAGCAAGGAGGAGGAGGAAGATCGGGAGGTTGTCACGCTGGAGAACGCTTTGCCGCCCCCAAGAGGCCCCAGGAGGCATCCGTCGCATCAGTCGGACAGCTTGTGAATGAGGAGGTAGAGGAGGAGGAGAGGAGGAGGATGAGAAGTAGGAGTAGGAGTAGGAGGAGTAGGAGGAGGAGGAGGAGCAAGAGGATCATGAGGACGAGCAGAAGTAGTAGGATGATGATGATGAGGAGGAGGAGGAGCACGAGCAGGAGAAGGACGGGGAGGAGGAGGAGGAAAGGAGGAGAAGGATGCAGATCAGGAAGCGAGGAGGAGGAACGTTGGGAGGATGAGCATGAGGATGATGCTGATGATGATGCTGATGATGCTGATGATGATGCTGCTGATGATGATTATGATCATGATGATGATGACGACGATGCTAATGTTGATGTTGCTGTTGCTGTTGCTGATGATGTTGATGTTGATGCTGATGATGATGCTGAGGAGGAGGAGGAGGTGTAAGAGGAGAGGTAGGGAGGGAGGGCGGGAGGGGAGGGAGGCAGGGACGACGAGCCTTCCTGGAGCGTCCCGCCGACGCGCCCTAATCGCCGCGGTTGCGGCATGCGTGCAGGCAGTTCGATTTTAAGCTCCAAGTCAAATCGGTCAGAGTTCTGATGCCAAGGACCGTTGAATTGAGGAAGAGAAGTAGGAGGAAGAGCAGGAGGGGGATGAGGAGGAGGAGAAAGAGCGGGATGAGGAATACGAGACGTAGCAGAATGAGGAGGAGAGGGAGGGGGAGGATGCGGATAAAGAGGAGGAGGAGGCGGAGGAGGAGGAAAAGGAAGATTATGACGCGAAGGATCATGGAGAGGAGGGGTCAGCGTCTTTGGGCTCTGGAGGCTGTGTTCGAGCCCCAGGACAGTGGGAAATCGATCCTGGGTGGAAAGTTCGGTCGGACCAACCTTGGAAGAGATCTTGGGACCGATCGAAAGCATCAGTCATGCGTTCCAGCATATCGAGCTTAAGATCCAAATCAATTCGGTCAGGATTCTGATGCCAAGGACGGGTTATGGATGAAGAGTGGGAGGAATACATTGGAGGAGAATCAGAGGAGGAGGAGGAGGAGGAGGAGAAGGAGGAGCAAGAGGAGGATCAGGAAGGGCAGACGTAATGAGACGCAGCAGAATGAGGAAGAAGGGCAGGAGGAGGATGCGGATAAGGAGGAGGAGCGGAGCCCGCTCAGGATGGTCATTTGCTGGATGGGAGACGGCATCGCCCTCCCCCGGGGGAGTGGTTACTCCCTCCACTGATCATGATCCTTCTTCTTTTCTCCTCCTCGTCCTCATCTTCATTCCTGCAGCTTGTGGATTTTTGGGGGTGTTCTTGGGGGAGGAGGGGTAGCCCTGGCGGGGGAGTACCATTGGGGGGGGGGTCGCCTCGGGGGGGATGTAGCCTTAGGGTATAGAGTTGGGTGGACCCACGAACCCAGAAAGGGCTGTAGAAATGTGAAGCAAAGAGGGGTTTCAAACAATCACATTCGGGAGACGGGCAGTTGCAATGCTCCAAGTCAAGATGGTAATGTACCATGCTAGGGGCTGTGCTGTGCTGTGATAAGTTGAAATGTGCCATGCCGCGTTGAAGTGTGGTGGGCCCTCTTGCATAGTGGATCGGGTCGTTCTTGGAACCAGAACCTTGACCGATCTGATCTGGATCTTCAGCTGTAGCTGCCTGATCGTACAACTCGAGCTGATTGCAGTCCAACCGCGCGAGGCGGCCGACCAGCTCGAATGGAACGTTCATGGCCGAGAGCATTTCCTCCTGCAAGGACATCCCTGAGGCTCGCGACATGTTCAAGAAGGAACTCGAAGGCTGCCGCGAATTGCTGGTCTCTAAGAAGAAGTCGCGCACGCAGAAGCGGCGGGCCAAGGATTTGATCATTGAGACGCCCACGAAGGTCCGGTGCGTCCAAGGGTCCGCGGAGACGTCCGACGGCATGTAGGCGCGATCGACCTGGCGGCCGCAAGGTCGGGCAGGCTGCGCGGCACGTCATGCACCATCTGTACTTCCCAGAGTAGGGTGTTGCCGCCGTCCGCCGGGCTTTGCACCCTCAGGGTCAGCCACGAATGTCCTCCGTTCTGCATTTTTCCTCCCAACGAGGTGTTTCACCTGCAGGGTCAGCCTTCGATTTCGCTTTATCGCCCCCTGCACTGCATCCGCGGGGTCAGCTGGTTTGCTCGCACTTCCCCGTCCTCCCCGCTGAGCTTTTCACCCGCAGGGTCCGCCCGCGTCTTTGGCACTCCCCGGACGATGGTGCGCGGCCAGACTCCACCGGTGCCTTTGGTCTCTCTTTTGCTCTCCTCCGGGCACTCCGCCCACTGGGTCAGCCCTCGCAACTTCTCCATGTGTTCCCATCTGGCAGTGCACCCGCGGGGTCAGCCGGTCATCCGCTCGCACTTTCGGCCGTGTGCATTCCCATCGCAATCAGCCGCCGCGCGCCCCTGCCCTCTCCAGGGGCGCGTAGATCACAACGCCCGTTCGCCGGAAAGCTGGACGGCGAAGCAGACAGTTTTCTCATCCTCCTCTCTTCTGCCTCGCCGCCGCCCCGAGGTCTTGCACTGCCCGCGTTCTCGGACAGAACCTTTGCCCGGCCAGCGGCGCTATCGGGCTGCCGCGGCGGAACTGATTCGGATATTGAGCTCGAGCTGGTCGGCCGCCTCGCGCGATTTGGCTGCAACCACCTCTAGCTTTGCGATCAGGCAGCTGCAGCTGAAGATCCAGATCAGTTCGGTCAGGGTTCTGATTCCAAGAACGACCCGATCCACAATGCGAGAGGGCACACCAAAGTTCAACGCGGCATGGCACAGTGCAACTTTTCACCGCACAGCACAGCCTTTGGCGCGGCACATCACTATCTTTACTTGGAGCATTGCGGCTGCCCGTCGCCCAAGTTTGCTTGTGTCAAACCTCTCCATGCACTACATGTCAACATCCCTTTCCAGCATCGTGGTTTGATCCACAACATCGTTGCAATTCAGCACTGCGAAGCACAGCGCAGCCTCTGGCACGGTACATGAAGATCGACACACTCAGGTTTTCAACTTGGTGCGTTTTTTTGGCATGTCCCGTGGCGCGTTCCATGGCGAGTCCCCCTGGCACGTCGCGCGGCGCGTCCCTTGGCACGTCCATTGGCACGTTCCGTAGCGCGCCCCCTTGGCACGTCCCGCGGTGCGTCCCCATGGCATGTCCCCTGGCACGAACCTTGGCGCGTCCGTTGGGATTCTCCGCGGCGCGTCTCCCTGGCGTGTCCCCCTGCCAATCTAGCTCTGGGGCAACTACTATGTGTTCGGGCAGTCCCACCTTAAGATCCACATCGGTCCGGTCAGGGTTCGCATGCAAAAGGGGGACTCGATCGAAAATGCTATAGAACACAGTCGTGGCATGGCACATCGCAAATCCGCACGGCGCAGCACAGCACAGCCCTTGGCACTGTGCGTCAATATCGATACACTCAGCATTGCAATTGCCCGTTGTCCAATCAGGTGTCTTGAACAAGCTGCCATGCCTTACATTTTTTGAATCCTTTTTCAGGTCAGTGGGTCGATCATCTTTGGCAACCTCGCTTATTTTGTTTCGATCACGGGCCTGTAGACGGCGCCGGCTGGGCACACACACACACCCTCACACACACACACACCCACACACACACACACACACACACACACTTCTTCGTGACCGATACCGGCCCTCCCCATCAGGGCCCCGACGCATCATTCGAAACACCCAGGACCCATTTCGAAAACCTCCAGAAACTCCCAAGCTACTCATGTTGAAGTCATGTCGCGTGCAGTTATGAGATTATCCAGAGGCGGGGCTTTCTAGAACCTAAGAGCGCGAAGCGCGCGTGGTTCTGGTAATTTGTTTTGCGCCCTCGCGGTCTGGATTCTGGTGCGCGATCCCGCGGATACGCGGTCGCATGGGTACGTTCCGCACCGGGCGTCCGCAAAACAACGCCCCGCGGAGTCGCGGCCCAGGGGCCCAACCCGAGAGAACGCGGATACGGAGAGTTTTTTCTCGCCCATGATATAAAGAGGCCCTTGGTTCCTTCTTCCATATTCGGTGTGGTACAGTGGAGACCCATGCGAAGAAACACCCTGCTTGCGTCCAGGGCGCTCTGGGCTTCGTGGGTTTCGATTGGTTTTGCGGTGGACAGCGCGACGTGCCCACAGCAAGCATTAATGGACGTCCTCGGGTCTCGGGGTTGGGTCTCTTGTGGAAGGTTTCTTGCGGTCGGGCCGGCACTGCAGCACGGTGACCGACAGCACCGCTGCCCCCCAGGCAAGGACGCCTGCGTGGTGCTCTACCTGTGGCTGGCCTCGCTCGCGGCTGCCGCGGGCCGCTGCCAGGACGAGCAGGGCGGCGCCGCGAAGGCGTCGTGGACGCCGCCGACGGCGGCGGCGGCCCAGGCGGCGGCCACGACGACGACGAAGGCGCTGCCTGTCGTGGACGCTGTGCTCGTCATCGCCGTCGCCGTCATCCGGGGAGGAGTGTCGGCGGCGAGCGAAAGAGGGAAGTGAAAAGGAAAGGCCTTCTCAGAAGGCGGCGGGACTTCTCAGAAGCCCTCGCGTCTTCTTGTAAGTTTTCAGCGTCTTCGGGGAAGGCTTGGACAACTTCTCAGAATGCCGGGGGACTCAGGACTTCCGAGCCTTCTGAGAAGGCCCGCCTCTTCTCCATTCCCCCCCGCGCTCGCCGCCAAGAGTAGGGAGGGCGGGGGCGGGATCTGGTGGGGATGGGGAGGAGGTTTTGCTTTGCTCAGTGCTGGACTCCCGCCTACACAATCATCTTTTGCAGGAAGAGCTGGAGGAGGGAGTTGGAGGAGGAGTGTGGAGGAGGAGTGTGGAGGCCTAGGGTCAGAACCAGCGAAGCGGTGGACGCTGTGCAACTGAGAACCCCAGCGGTGGATGCCCAAGCTGCACGGGGTGGAGGAGGTCCTACAGCTCAAGGAGGAGCTGGGCACGGAGCTGGACACCAAGTTCGGAGGGGCGAACATGGGCGGTCAGGCCCCAGCACGCCGACATAGGCGATGAGCATCAAGAAGCTCGTGGCCATGGCGACAGGAAGTTCGAGGACTAGCTCGAGCTCGTGAGGCCCGTCGGCCAGGTCGCGCCCCTCCTCTGAGGAGGGGGCTGGGCGGGCGCCCGATCCTCGACCCCGCGAACTCGAACTCTTCCTCATCCTCGTCCTCCTCCTCCTCCTCCTCCTCCTCCTCCTCCTCATCATCATCATCATCATCATGACCCCCTCCTCCTCCTCCCCCCCTCCTCCTCCTCCCCCCCTCCTCCTCCTCCTCCTCCTCCTCCTCCTCCTCCTCCTCCTCCTCCTCCTCTTCCTCCTCCTCCTCGACGAAGGAGTTATCATCGGCGTTGTGTCTCTTCCCCACGACAGGAAGGTAAGTCATCCGGCCACTCTCTCGTTTTTTTTACGCTCGCCATACATGAGCATTTTGGCTGTGGAGTTCTCCGCACTCTTCCCCCCCTCCTCCCTCTTCCTCCTCCTCCTCCTCCTCCTTCTCCTCCTCCTCCTCCTCCTCCTACTCCTCCTCCTCCTACTTCTCCTCTTCCTCCCCCTCATCATCATCATCATCATCATCATCATCATCATCATCATCATCATCATCATCACCATCACCACCACCATCATCATCATCATCATCATCCTCATCTTCATCCTCATCCTCATATCCTCATCCTCATCATCCTCTTGATGGGGGAGTCCTCACCGTGACTCCTTTCCAAAAGCCAGGAAAGAGTTACCGCCGTGCAGCAGCAGCAGCAGCAGCAGCAGCAGCAGCAGCAGCAGCAGCAGCAGGAGGCGCGCCTGCCGCCCGCGCTCCCCTCGGCAGCCCCCCGCCCCCGCAGGCCGCGGCGGCGGACCCGGCCGCCCACGGCGCGCCCGGGGACGCCCTGCCGCCGCGGGGGCCCCAGCGCGGCCAGCGACCCGAGGTCCGTCTGACGGGGCTACGGGGGATGGGCTAAAAGTGCCCACGCAGGTCGGGAATGCCAGCTTTCTTATTGAAGGGGAGGGCGGGGAAGGAGTGCAAGGACGAGCGGTCGCAGCATCGAAGCTGTGAGGGCAGCGGAAGGCCTGCAGCTATCATTTTCCAGGTCTAGACTCTTCGCACGACTGGCCAGGTGGTCGGGCCGAACGAAAGTTGGGGATAGGGAAAGGAGGGGGTGCGAAGTTGCCGCATGCAGCTGGTTTCGGCCCCGCCGCCGGGCCCATTCCTCGATACGTGGGCGCCTCCCGGCGCCGGGAGGCGCTGGGAAAATCCGCTACGTGAGCTGATTCTCTACCCTACCCTTTGCTATCCCCCCTGTCGTTTCCCCCGACCCTCTACAGAAGGAATATTCAGGAATTGACAAAAATGGTCTGGGGACGATTCCTCGTGCTCTTTTGTCAGCTATGTTTCGACGACTGTTCTTATTCTTCGTCTTCCAAGATCCGCCTGTAGGAGGACAGGCCCGACCTGCGGCCAGGACGAGGAAAAATCAGTTCCAGAGCGATCCAGAACGCTTTCAGAGGGTTCCGGAACGCTCCGAGACGGCCTCGGCGCCCGATGCATCCTCCAGATTGGCCAGATCTCAGAGATTCTCGCTGATCCTCCGCCGATTGTTAGCCTCGTCCTGGCCTCGTCTTGCGTCATCCGAGGAGGACAAGGTACCGATGCCGCTGCTTGCCCCGGAGGCGTTCGAGTTTCCTGGACGCTCCCGTCGGTTAACTCGGCGGTCTTCTGCTTCGGGCTGCTCTGCAGCGGCTGCGCCTCGCCGAGAGCGTTGCGGGGGTGCTTGGGTCGCCCCTCAGGAGGGGAAAAACACACAGACACAATTAATCGTCGATCCCCAAGAAAATATGGGAAAATATGGGAAGTGGGGGGGAAGACAGGCACCCAAAAAATATGGGGAAATATGGGGCATCCTTTTATTTGTGTGAATTTTTTGTGTGTTCCAGGGCCCCTTCAGTCCCGAACGGCCACCGGAGAGCCGGGTCACGACCCGGAAGCCGAGTTTCGACCCGGCGCCGATGCCGCTACTTTTGCTTCGTTGTCGCCCGTTTGGGCCTCCTGGGAAGCCCTCGTCGCCACGGCAGGATTATTTTCGACATTCGGTTCAGAACGCTTCGGTAGCAAATCATGGCAGTCTGGTGTACCCTTTAAGTTTCGTCTCTAGCGTCGATGAGCGTCGACTAGGGTAGACCAGCGTCGATTCGCAAGACCTGGCAAGATGGTATGGGAGGCTCCCATGAGTTACCACCGAAGCAGCGCCCGATTCATCCTCCAGAGCCGCCTGATTTCATTGAGCCTGGATTTATCCCTCTCTGATGTGTTGTTTTGTCCTGGATTCGTTATAATCGGCGGGGCTCAGCCAGAGCGGCAAATCCTGCAACGCCAGATTTGAGCTGAGCCGGGTGGGTGAGCCGCTCGCGGGCCTGGCGGTTTGGGACGCCCCTCCCGAGAGAGATTGATTGAGCCGGGTATGCGATGAGGCGGGCAGTCCACGCCCGATTTCGGTTAAGTCGAGCGTGCCCCTCGACGGCAGGAATATTCAAGAATGGTAGAAAATAGTTGACTGACGATTCTTCGTGTTTTTTATCATCATTTCGGGCGTAGCCCGAATTTGTTTCTCGCGAGAGAAACTGAACTGAACCGAGCTGAAATGAACTGAACTGAGTTGAACTGACATGAAAAGACTGGTCGCACCCGTTCCACGACGGTTTCATTCTCGGTCGCCGAGGGCGCAACCTATGGCGCAACCGATAGGAGACGGCTTTAATCTCGGCCGCCGAGGGCGCAACCTTTGGCGCAACCGACGGGAGACGGCTTTATCTTCGGCTGCCAGGGGCGCAACCTGTGGCGCAACCGATCGGAGACGGTTTCCTCTTTGGCCGCCGAGGGCGCAACCTATGGCGCAACCGATAGGAAACGGTTTTATTCTCGGCCGCCGAGGTGCAGGAGAAAGAGGATGAGCAGGAGGAGGGAGAGGAGAAACGAGGACGAGGTCCTAGACGAGGACGACGAGGAGGAGCTGGAGCAGGAGGAAGACGAGGAAGACGAGCAGGATGAGGAGGAGGACGAGGAGGAGGACGAGGAGGACGACGACGACGATCATGATGGGAAGGAGGACGGGGAGGAATACGGGTAGTACAAGGACGAAGTGTGAGCATTCGAGTGCTTTCGGGGCTACCCGATTTCTGCTCGCCGTTTGGGCTGGTGGTAGGGACCAAGCGGCGAGCTGTCTTGTGATTATTTGTTTGCTTTCTGTTAGAGCATTTCTCGACTTTTTGCATTTCTTCCTAAATCCGCCTGTAGCAGGACATGCCCGACCTACAGTCGGCCCGGATTAGTAGGTCGACCCCGCCAGCTCAAGGGTACCCTTGTGTCCTGTGCCTCGCGACACGTGCCTTATTGCACTCCTGTGGCGATGTTGCCCTCGGAAGGGTCTTGTGTCCTCTCGCGTGTCCTGTCCAATCAAGGCCGATCGTAGGTGCCGTCCTCGCCCGACTGTCCTGTGATTGTATGTCTGCTTTTTGTTAGAGCATTTCTTGATTCTGTTGTTTCCTTCTTCCTTCAAATTCCCAATAAGGGGACCGTCAGCCCACCCCGCCCAGGAGCCTGCGGACTCGCCACCGGGGCCCCACCATTCGGTTGGGCGTGTCCCTCCCTCCCCTCCCTCCCTGCCTCCCTCCCCTCCCTCCCTGCCTCTCTCTCTCCCTCCCTCCCTCCCTCCCTCCCTCCCTCCTCCCTCCCTCCCTCTCTCTCTCTCTCCCTCCCTGCCTCTCTCTCTCCCTCCCTCCCTCCCTCCCTCCCTCTACAGGAAGAATGTCCACACATAGGCCAAAAAACAGTCTGAGGCGGATTGTTCGGTAATATGTGGATCATGTTGTCAATGCTTGGCATTTTTTTCAAAGAATCCGCCTGTGGGAGGACATGCCCGACCTAGTCCACCCTACCACCGATCTGTCGGCGACGTCCCGCCGATTCCAGCCCGCTGCTCTCCCACCCCTCGAGCTGCTCCCCTCCGCACGTGGCGCCATGGGTGCCCGGGTCCCACCTCGGCGTCCCTCGGGCGGCCGTTTTGGACCGGGGGCCCCGCCGGCACGCTCCCGGCGAGGCGCAGCCACCGGGGACCAGCCCGAGGCCGGGAGGCCGTCGAGAACCGAAGGTAACGTTTCAACATTTCGAACCCTAAACCTCGAAGCCTTCTTGGGTGACCCCCGCCTGTAGCAGGACATGCCCGACCCAAGTTGCGTCCTCGCCCGACCTCGGCGCTCCCTGCGGGGCCCTCTCGGCGGCCGCCGGCGCCCAGACGGGCGCCCTCCACCTCCTCCTCCTCCTCCTCCTCCTCCTCCTCCTCCCAGTCGCCCTCCTCCACCTCCTCCTCCTCCTCCGCCTGCTCCTCCTTCCTCCTCCTCCTCGAGGCCGGAAGACCGTCGAGAACCGAAGAAAACGTTTCACATTTCGAACCCTAAACCTCGAAGCCTTCTTGGGTGACCCCCGCCCTACGAGCCTCATGGCCAGGTCTGATGGGGTGGTCGGTCGGCGTCTCCCGATCGGCGGCTGAGCCGCAGCAGCATCGTGGATGAGTGGAGCGAATGGTTAGTTTGATTGCAGGAAGGTGCCCAGAACGAGCATCCGATCTTCTTTCTCCTCCGCCTCGTCGTTCTCGCTTGCTGGAGCATTCAAAGAGGAGTATGGAAACATAGTCAAAAACATAGTCAGGGGATGCTTTTCCCCCAACGAGAAAACAATGTTGGGTATTTCAACCTTCGTCCAAAGCCAGCCTGTTGGAGGACATGCCCGACCTGAAGTCGGGAGGCCGGTCTTCTGGGCGGGTTCTTGGCCCTTGGAAGCGGGGGGGAGGGGAGCGAGCCTCCTCCTCCTCCTCCTCCTCCTCCTCCTCCTCCTCGGGCATGTGGGGCAATTTTACCCGCCCAGCAAAGCCTTGATCAGGCAAGAAAGGGAAAGTCATCAGCGTCTGCCTCGGGCCCCTCGCCACTCTTTCCCCCCCAAAGCCATGTTCCACCTGAAGCAGTTGGGGTTGCCGCTCGAATGCAGGTCCATCAGTATTCTCGCCCGTGCCTCAATGTTGAGGACAGCGATCAGGTCTGAGCAGTTTCAGGTGATATGTGATCGGCTCTCTGCAGCTGAAGATGATGATGAATTTTGCCCTGCATACAAGTTGCACCCGTTTTTCAAGCAGTCTATCCTCTACTTCATGAAAGCTGAATATGATAGATATATGGCTATTCCTTATGCCCCTTCGCTCAAGCCGCCCAAACTACTCCAGCAAGCTATCACCAAGTTCCTCCTTCGGAAACGTGAATATGTCGTTCCTGCCGAACTCGTCATCCATAGAATGTTATATTGGGATAAGTCCTGTACTCCTGCTGACGCTGATCTGACTGTTATTCGTGTAAATACTGTAGGCCTGAAGCTCCCTAGTTTTGTAATTACATCCATCCTCAAATCCCTATATAACGCCTGGCCAACGACTAGGAGGTTTCGACAAGCTACTGCCCAGTGTGTTTTCGGGTGCTCGGGCCCTGGCAACGACACCATTCCTCATTATTTTTCGTGTCCTGTTGCGGTTCCCTGTATTAGGAAACTGCTTCCCCAGCTCCCCCCGTCCTGGGGGATTGACCCTCTTGCCAGTATTTTGCCCCACAGGTGGCCCTCTTCATCTGCCACTCTCTCCCCTTGTCTTGCGCGCGAGCAGCAGCATGCCATCGCACTTGCCTCTGATTTATTGTTGACTTCTTTCAATGCCTGCCGCAGGAGAGGGGTCCTCGGGAGGCGTGCAGCTCGGAAATATGCAGCGGAGGCCATTCGCGCAAGGGCGCGGCAGGCTAGCTTCCGCTCTATGGTGATGAAGGAGTTGTTGCTCTAACTCGGTTGGCGCTCCTCCTCCTCCTCGGGCGCTGTCGGCAGGATCGGAGGGTTTTGAGCTTTGAGAGCCCAGACATGCTCGCGTCGCGGCACAGAGATTTTTTCGCGGCGAGCGGAGAGGGGGCTTTTTAGAAGCAGCCTGCCCCTAAGAAGCCATCCCCCTGCCCCGAGCCCCCGAGGCGCGCCGACGAAAGGAGCTATGGTTTTTATGTTGGCCGTCCGGTGAGTTTGTCGGTTGCCGTATACACCGTGCCTCAAATCAGGCATGCCCTTTTTGCAGGAGGAAGAGTCAAACATGTAGCAACACTGGGGACTTCTTTGGTTTGTTGTTATGCTGTTTATATGGTTACCGACTTCTTTTTCATTTTTCTCCCCGCATCCGCCTGCAGGAGGACATGCTCGACCTAACCCGAGCGGTGGGGAGAGGGCCACGAGAGGCGTCTCCTTTGCTCCGAGGCCGACCGCCTCGTTCTCCTCGGCGGACTCGGCGAGGGGGCAGACGGTGATCTTCTTCGACTCGCCCCAGGAGCTCGCGGTGGCTGTCTCCCTGCGATTTGGGGGGTTGGCCAAGGAGGAGCCCAGGCACACTCGCATCGCAGCAGCAAAGCAGGACGGGAGGATATTTGGGCATCTCTCCTCCTCTGGGGGCCATGCCCAGGCGCCAGGACCGTCAGCAAAACGACTCGGGATGAGAAGCTGGTCCGAAAGGGTGGGGAATCCCTGGGGAACACGTGATGAGAAACGTCAGGACATCGCATGTCTGGGAGGAGGGGCATTAGCAGGGAGGAGGAGGAGGAGGAGGAGGAGGAGGAGGAGGAGGAGGAGGAGGAGAAGAGGAGAAGGATCATACTAAGACGAATACGAAGACTTCGAAACATAATGATGAGAAGGAGAACAATAATCTTTATACTAATAAGAAGAAGAGGGGGTATTTCCAGGATCTCCGCCATCACGTAGTGATATTCAAACAGGCCTACAAAGAGGGCAGAGAAGCGGCCGAACGGGCAGCGCTCGCCTTCGGCGGATACGGGTTCCTCCTCGCCGCTTCGCGCGGGCTTCGCCGAGGCGAGTCCCACCCCTAGGCTCAGCGCCAGAACATTTTTCGAGCCGCGCCCGCCCCGTAGGGCTAAGAGAACAACACACCAAGTGGGGCGCCAGTCCCCCGGCCGACGCCCACCCCGACGCGCGCACCGGGCGGGGCACCCGGGACGTGGGAAAAACGAGTAAGAAGCACCCGATTAGCCGCCCATCGGCGACCTGCGTCCCCGCCCGACTCCTGGCGGAGTACACCTTAGGCGATGCTTAAGAAAACTTGAGTTTTCGGCCAGAGTCTCGATTATTCTTAACGTTTCAATGTAAATCTTATGATTTGAATGGAAATGTTGGGTTTTTATTCAAGTTCTGAGACTATGAATTTCTTAACCCATGATTTCTTAATCATTTCGCAGGGTGTACCAGGTGGGCCACCGCAAGACAACGTGGCGACGAAAGCGCAGTTCTCTCTCTCCCCCGGGCCCGCGTGGGGCAGACAGGGGTGACGAACGGGCGGCTACCCGCCTGCTTTCATGGGACGTGCGAGGGCACCCAGTGGCACAGGTGCCGAGGAGGAGGAGGAGCAGGAGGAGGAGGAGGAGGAGGAGAAGGAGGAAACGGGGAGGAGGAGGAGGAGGAGGAGGAGGAGGAGGAGGAGGCAGGGAGGGAAGAGGTACCGATACCGAGACCCTTCCGTCGTCGGCGGGGCTGGATTCGCCTCGAAATCATGGTCAGAATTCACCCTGGGAGAGGTTTGTGTAGTAGCGGTATCGGTAGCTTTTTGTCCTCTCCGAGGGGAGAGACAACAGGGGGGGGAGGAGGAGGAGGAGCATGCGGAGCCGTGAGGAGGAGGAGGACCACAGGATGGAGGAGGCCAGGTGAGGAGGAGGTCAAGAGGATGGGGAGGGCGAGGAGGAGCGGGTAAGAGGAGTCGGATGATCGGTTTGGCATGGGCTCGTGGAGTTCAGGGGGGGCAATTCGGCAAGTGTTGCGGCGCTGCGGCGCACCGTGGCGCCTTTCCCGCCCTCGTTCCCGCCCTCATTCTCGCCTTCGTTTTCGCCTTCGTTCCGGGGCCGTCCGTAGGCCGCTGGGGGAACCCAAGGGCCGCCCAGGGAAATCAGACTTGAAACAGAGTTTCGGCCAGACCTCGAACAGACTTCAAGCGGACCGTCAACAGACCTCAAACAGACCTCAATCAGAGTTTGGCCCAAAACAGACCTCAAACAGAATTCCCAAATACCTTAAACAGATCTCAAACCTCGAACAGACTTCAAACAGACCTCCCCGAGGCCCCCAGGCCCAGAAGGTTCCCCGGAGGTTCCCCAGAGGCGCCCCGGAATTCCCGAGGCGCCCGGAGGAATCCCGGGGGCGCCCAGAGGCGGGCGGCCCCCCGCCCTCATTCCCACCCTCGCTCTTCCCGTCGTTCCCGCCCTCGCTCCCGCCCTCGTTCTCGCCCTCGTTCTCGCCCCCGTTTTCGCCCCCGTTCTCGCCCTCGCTCCCGCCTTCGTTCCCGCCTTCGTTCCCGCCCTCGTTCTCCCCCTCTTTCCCGCCCTCGTTCCCGCCCTCGTTTTCGCCTTCATTCTCTCGTTCGTTTTCGCCTTCGCTCCCGCCGTCGTTCTCGCCCTTGTTCCCGCCCTTTCTCCCGCCCTCGTTCCCGCCCTCGTTCCCGCCCTCGTTCTCGCCCTCGTTCTCGCCCTCGCTCCCACCCTCGTTCCCGCCCGTTTTATTCCCCGCGCCCTCGCCCTCGTTCCCGCCTTCGTTCCCGCCCTCGTTGTCGCCCTCGTTGTCGCCATCGTTCCCGCCCTCATTCTCGCCTTCTTTCTCGCCCTCGTTCTCGCCCATCGCCCCCGCCCCCGTTCCCACCCCAGTTCCTGTCGTCGCCTCCGCCTTCGTTCTCGCGATCGTCCCCGCCTTTGCCCCTTCTTCCCGCCTTCGTTCAGGGCACCTCCCAGGGCGCCCCCCGCGCCCCCGAGCCACGCGAAAAGCGCAGCGCTTCTCCTCTGCGCGTCCTGCCCCCGACCTGTCCCAGGCGGGCGGCGGGGATCGGGGCGGTCACCGCGATGCGCATCTTGTCGGGGCGCGGCAGCCGTCAGCCCTGAGGGCCTCAGGAGCGAGCCTCGGGCCAGCCTTTTTTCGCTCCAGCTGCCGCTGAGCAGTGTTGGGCAGGGCCGCGCAGGCGGGGGGCGCTGCCCCGCCACAGCTCGCAGTATTTGGCAGCTGGCGGCTGGGCTCCCGGCCATGACCTGCCGCTTGGCTTGCGCATTCCTTGTGTTGTGTTTTTGAAGACGCATGCGCACGGGGCCGACCTGGCAGCGTTCGGGGCCGGCGCCGCGACATTGGTTTCGGCGGGCCCAAGCCAAATTAGAATCATAGTTCTTTTAGAGTCCCCAGTCAGACCTAAGTCAGACTTGGGCCTTAGGGCCAGAGTTAAATCCGAGTTCCAGTCAGACCTAAATCGGGGTTGGTGCTGAGGGCCAGACTTGAATCAGAGTTCCAGCGCAGACACGAAACAGACCTTCATCAGAGTTTTTGGCCTGAACAGAGAAACAGAGCTTGCCCCCCAAAAGACACTCAATCCTAGCTGTAAGTTGCCAGTGCAAGTCTAAGAGGCTTCGGGGTGGCCAGGTCTGCATCTTTCTGGCTCCCGGAGGCCCTGTTGGAAATAGTTTGAACCCAGAGGTCTGGGAACGTCATCGTATTAAGAACATTCAGATTCCTTCGGGAGTTTCAGGGTGCTTCGCCTTCCTGGGGGCCCCTTGGCCCCCTGCTTTGTGTTTCGGGAGCTTATTGTCGAACGGGGAAAAACGGCGTCGGCATAATGCGTTAACGCTCCGCGCGGATTTCTTGGATCCGCGCTGGGCCCCCCTGTCGGCGCCTTCGACGCCTCCCCCGGCGCGTTCCGCGCGCCGGAGAGGGGGGCCCGGCGCGGATCCAAGAAGTCAGCGCGGATTTTCCTCGAATACACGTAGAGAGTGATTCTTCGCCGGAGTGACTTTTGGTGCTGGCCCCAAGGGTGTCGGGGGATTTTCTTATCCAGTGAGTTTGGCCTCGTTTCGGCACCCGCATCGCGTGACTGCGCTAGCTTGCATTGGTTACCCGAGGGGGAGCAGGACCAGTCCCGAATCCCAGCCCAAATCCCAAAACGTGTGGTTCGAAAATGTTTGAATATCATGGGGCCGGTTTTGGCCATGGCGGCGGGCCTGGTCGGACGTCGTCGCGACGCGGCCTGGCAGTGGCAGACCTCATCGCGGTGGCCCCCGGCAGCGTCTGTTTTCGCAGGCCCTTCGAAGTGCCATTCGGGGCGTTCGAATTCAATCGGCGGAATTCCGCGGTTGCCTGCTGGCGCAAAAAATCATTCGAGTGGTGCCCCGCCGACCGTTGATGCGGCGCGGCAACGCTGGCTTGCGCGATTGCGTCGGGCCCCCACGGGCGCCCCTGAAGCCGCGCACCAAAGGTCACTCCAGCCTAGGGTCATTCTTACGTGTAGTCGACTTCAACAGTCTATGTTAATGCCCGTGCGTCGTCCCTTTTTGTTGGCGGATTGGAAGCCTATTGGCGCCCCTTCGGCGCCACGGCTGGTCTTCTTGAAGCGTGGTGGGATAACTTCGATGGCCTCCTTATTTTGTAAACCCTTTTTGGAAGCCTCAGAGAGCCCCAGGGTGGCGCCATTGCCGCTCGTGGAGACTCGGGAGGGGTAGGGGGGATGCCATGTATTCAGCTGGGCGTGGTGCGCGGGGGGGGGGGTCTTAGACGACTTGCGTACACCAGGCCAGACAACACTTGGCATTCTTCCACGCCTCAGCGCGCCACGGAACATGGTGGCGATAAGGACCCAGCCTGCCAGCAGGTGCCCTACGGAAGTTCCTGATTCCCCCAGCGGCCCATAGGGTCCCACAAAAGTACTGAGGCATCGTAGGGCGGTGCATTCGAGTCGACGGGTGTTCTGTGGCCTTCGCAAATCAAGATCCGAAAAAGGAGACAAATAATAAACTGTTACGACTCCGCCAAAAGTTTGTATGTATAGCGTTTGGGGTTTTTCTATTTCGTAATGCGAGATTTCTTATTCGTCGCATGCCTCCTGTGAGTTCAACTCGGTTCCGGGCGGGCTCGGCAGGAGTTCCCCGAGGTGCGCTCCTTTGTCGCATGGGTGGTCCGCAGCCTGGGCCTGCACGAGGCGGGCGGTGGGGTTGCTAGGAGGGGAGGGCGGTGAGCGGTCGGCCAATTGATTGCAGCTGCATGTGGATACTGCTGGAGGAGGCGGGCCCACATGGCCTCTCGCCGTGGAAAGTCCGAGGGCGGGGATTAACTCGTGACCGCCAAGTGTGGGACCAAGCTTGGAGGGCCTCGGCGGGCGGTTGACATGGATATCGGCAGGCCCTGGGGTATCTATGGGTCGGGCACGTCCCTTCACAGGAGGAAGATTCAAGCATAGTCAGAAAATAGTATGGGGACGATGTTTGGCCTATTCTTTATATATTTGAGCATGTTTTGACTATCTCTTAGTTTTCTCCAATCCGCCTGTAGAAGGACTTGCTCGACCTAAAACTATATCCATATCCACCGCCTGCCGAGGCCCCTGAAGCTCAATGTCCCAGGGTACCAAAACCGTACCGCAGCAAGTCATGATGGAGCAATTTGCCAGTTTCCGGCCTCTGGGGGCCTTGCCAGGCCCCAGGTCACGACAAAAACATCCCGGATGAAACACGTGTGCTGCGGAAGGGGTCGGGACACTCGTGGGTCCGCGCTGCAGCAGAAAGCACGACGTCGGGCGCCGGGTCTCCAGATGTAGAGGACTGAGATCTGGGAGACCCGCGGATGTCCAAGCACGGTGGGCATACCTAGCGGTGCGGCGCGGAATTTCCGCGGAGCGATTTGTCAATGCGTTGCACAGTTTGTGTTCGGAGGGGGCCCGCTTTTCTTAAGGGCCTTCCACGGCTATTCCTCTAGCGTTCCTCGTGCACCCAGGCGCTTTTTGGAGCCCCGAGCAGGTCTGTTCCTTGTCGGCCGTTCCTTTTTGTAACGCAGGAAGGCTCCAACCATCGTGTGAGTAATTCTGTCGATCAATCGTCGCACGTGCGCATTATTGCTGGTTTCATCTCGAGTGTCTCGGTCACAGGGAGGGCCGAGCCATCTTTCAGTGCATGCTCGAAGTGGGGGGGTCAATGGCATACTTATGGATGATCGGGTCATGAAGAGAACAGCTGCTTGGCATTGCTGGAGAGGCATTTGAACATCACACGCCCGTTTGATCCGAACTGGCACGATTTCTTCTCTCCTGCGAGAGCGCGGTGTGCTTCCCAATTGTTTCCCCACCCGTCCCCCTTCTCCTCGTCATCCTCTCCACCCCCAAGGCATTGCTCGGACGTGTGTATTTTTCTCGGCGAGGACCATCGGGGACCATCCTGCACCTTCCTGCGAAAGAGGCACGCACGAAACATAACCGTGCACGGGGAATGGACGTCCGAGTGACGGCCAGGTACGCTTGTAGGGTAAGGTCGCATCGCTACAGTCCTCATTGACACGTGGACTGTTGTGGACCGTCGTGTGGTCGCGCCCCTTCTGGAGACATCCGAGGTGGCCTTCAAAGTAAATTTGAAAGTTACGGTGGGAGACCAGGGAATCTTGTCGCCCTTGCGGCATCCAAGGCGTATGCCAAGGATTGGGGCATGGCACCATGAGCGAGGAAGGGGGAGATACGGTATACGCTATCTGCACTGTTGGCGGGACAAGCAAGTGGTGAAGACGGAACGGCCCACGCCCGCCCCACGCTTGATGATCATTGAACAAGCAAAACGACATTCGCAGGTCAAAGTGGAAAGCTCGACCTTCAAGCGCGGGATGGGCGATCTCGTGGACGATGGCCTGAGGGCGGTGGTCATGGGCCAGAGGCCGCGCTCATGTCCGACTCTCCGCTGGTGCCCACCGTTATCCGTTCCGATTTTGGACCTCGACCTTCCTTCCACTTTCTTCGGCGGCAGGGCTGAGTTCACTCACGCTGCCATCTCATGTAAGTAGTTACCGCGGGTGTGAGCGGGCTTCGCGGCGTTGGTGTTGACAAAAGGAGACGTTGTGGGGTTGACACGGGTAAACCAAAGAATTGGCCGCCGTATTTCTTCGTTTTACGCTTCAGTGAGGAATCGTAAACAGAATTTGCCAGCGTGCATTTCATTGTGTCATTGCGTGTGGCTTCTTGCATTCAAGGTTTTCAACGTGTGTGATCAAATGTTTGGAGTGTGCAGCATATCGGTTGGAATTTATCCAGGTTCTATTGGTTGACCAGACTGCACCGCGCGTGACTTCCAATGCCCGTGGTCAACCTCGGTGCACGAGCAACTATCGATACCCCCTCCTCCCTCCTCCTCCCTCCTCCTCCTCCTGCTCCTCCTCCCACACACCCGCAACCTGTTGACGCACTAAAGCTGGCGCAACGCCGCGTGGACCCTTCTCGTGCATGTCCGCGACGCCTCGGGCGCGCGAGTGAATCGAATTATGATGATGATGACGATGATGATGATGATGATGATGATGATGATGACAATGATGGTCACGACAACGGAACTGATGATGGTGATGATGATGAAAATGATGATGATGATGATGATGATGATGATGATGATGATGATGATGATGATGATGATGATGATGATGATAAGGCTGCTGCTGCTGATGATGATGATAATGATGGTAGTAACGCCAACGACGATGGTGGCGACGATAACGACGATGACGATGTTGGGGTCTGGTGACGGCGGCGGGGGTAGTCACGGCGATGATGATGTGTGTGCGTACACTGCCCGAGATTATGGTGCAACCTCTATCAGACACTTGTGGGTTTTCAGTTTACGAAGTTGAAGGCACCTGGCGTGACGTGCTGAGAAACGCAATGGGTTGGAACTAGTTGCGTCGTGCGCGCGTAGAGTCGCGCGCGTGCGACCCGCATGGTATATATGTATATACACACACGGTGTTGGCGGGCCCGCGGTGGTTGTCTAGTACTTTCGACATGCGCGCACGTGCAGTCCGCACGGCCTTGTCTTCGTCTGGTTGCCAACAACACAAGTGGTTTCAGCATGAGTTCAGCACGTGCGTCACCACATACAGTCAACCCGCATAGCAAGGATGGGCAGCCTTCCCGAGGGTACCCTTGCATCCTTGCTTCCTCGGTCCATCCTTCGCCGTTTTCGCTGGCCGCGCCCCGCTCGAAAAGCTTCGAACTGGGCGTCCAAGGTCCTTGCATCCTTACCGCGCATCCTTACTGCACGGGTTGATGGTAGGTGTCTTTTCATGGTGAAAGCAAATCGTGCGTCATGCATGTTGTTCGAGTTCGTTGAACAACAACGGTTTTGGACGGATTCAACATGTGACATTTGTGCGCACGTTGCCCGCAGGGTAATTTTTCTTTGGTTGTTCGACCAAGTGTCGATAGCATTTGTCAGATCAACGCGTGCGCACCGCATGGTGTCATCTGGAAGGACGAGGGGGGACCGATAGCGCGTCAGCTGGTCTGGTAGCGATGGGCATGCTACACGAAGGATCGCGGATAAGCAGGGTGAGCCACAATACGCGGAGGGGAAGGGATACGCAAGGCCTCGGCGGGGATGTATATTCTAAGTCAGAGTGAGGGGGCCGAACGGTCATTCATTGTCCCTGGGTGCGTGGCTGAAGTGAGATTCCGCGGTGCGGATTCGTGGTGTTGTTGTTGTTGTTTGTTGTTGTTGTTGTTGTTGTTGTTGTTGTTGTTGTTGTTGTTGTTGTTGTTTGTTGTTGTTTGTTGTCGTCCCACCCGCAACCTGCCCCGCGACCCACCCGCGACCCACCCCGCGACCCACCCCGCGACCCACCCTGCGACCCACCCTGCGACCCACCCGCGACCCACCCGCGACCCACCCCGCGACCCACCCCGCGGCCCACCCCGCGACCCACCCGCGACCCACCCGCGACCCACCCCGCGACCCGCCCGCGGCCCACCCCGCGACCCACCCGCGACCCGCCCGCGACCCACCCGCGACCCACCCGCGACTCACCCCGCGACCCACCCGCGACCCACCTTCGACCCAAACCACGTTCAAGGTACAAACCAACATTTTCGGCGCCTGCGGCGGGCTTTTTTTGCATTCCTTCCAGGTGGAGAGCCCGCGACCCACCCCGCGATCAACTCGCGACCAACCCGCGACCCAAACCACGTTCAGGGTACAAACCACATTTTTCGGCGCCTGCGGCGGGCATCTTTTGAATCGTTCTAGGTGGAGAGACCGCGGCCCACCCGCGACCACGTTCAGGGTACAAACCAATTTTTCGGCGCCTGCGGCGAGCATCTTTTGCATTCGTTCCCGGTGGAGAACCCGCGGCCCACCCGCGACCCAAACCACGTTCAGTGTACAAACCAATTTTTTCGGCGCCTGCGGCGGGCTGCTTTTGCAGGAGGACGAGGAGGGGGAGGAGGAGGGAGGAGGAGGAGGAGGAGGAGCAGCAGGAGGAGGAGGAGGAGCAGCAGGAGGAGGGAGGAGGAGGAGGGAGGGGACGACGACGATGACGTCGACGACGACGACGAAAAGGAGGAGGGTGGAGGATCGGGAGGGGGGGAAGAGGAGGAGGACGACGAGGAGGAACATGACGACAATGGGAGGACGATGATGGAAGGACGAGGGGGGGAGAGGGAGGACGAGGAAGAAGCGGAGGAGGAGGAGGAGGACGAGGTGGAGGAGGAGGACGACGATGACGATGAGAACGAGGACGAGGACGAGGAAGAGGAGAGGAGTAGGAGGCGAAGGAGGAGGAGGAGGAGGAAGAGGAGGAGGAGGAGGAGGAGGAGGAGGAGGAGGAGGAGAAGGAGGAGGAGGAGGAGGAGAGCGCCATCGACAAGGAAGGCGGGGGCCACGAGGTCCGCCGGCTTGACGACGCCCGCGTCGCCCGCGCCCGCCTCCTCACTCTTATCCGCAATTGCGGGGTGCTATAGATTTCTCGGTAAAGGCATATACGCGATGAAGTAGATTTGTGGTGACATATGTGCCGTGCGTTGTATGCGCTGCAATCCCTCTACGTTGCGCGAGTTATGCTCTGCAAGCTATGTGATGCAGGCCAGTTGGTCCAGCATGTGTTGTGCACTCTTTGGGGTGCAACCAAAGGGAGTGCAATCTTAGTCGTGCAAGTTGCGCCGGCAAGTCAGTACGTATGTGGTGCAGCCCATGTCGTGCAATTAAGGTCTCGGGAGATGCGCGATGATGATTATGCGGTACAATGTATGCGTGCATCCGGAAACGCCAGCCAGAGCGGACCGTCCTTCCCCTGGAGCCTTGTTGCCATTTGTGTGCATCGGCTTTGCTCCTCCCCCCCTGCCACCAACCGCAGGGGAGAGTGAGGAGGAGGAGGAGGAGGAGGAGGAGGAGGAGGAGGAGGAGGAGGAGGAGATCGAGGCCGAGTAGGAGAACGAAGCGAAGGATAATTTAGATAAGGAGGAATCGGAAGAGGAAGGGGAAGTCTAGGAGGAGGAGGAAGATGGGGAGGAGGATGAGGAGGAGGAGGAGGAGGAGGAGGAGGAGGAGGAGGAGAGAGAAGGCGGATGAGGAAAAGGAGGCTGAGAGTGGACTTCAGTATGAGATGACGTGGGATTCGGCACTTAGCCCATGTGACACCTCCTCCTCCCACTGCTGGGTGCCTTCGATCATCAACTGGCCTCGGGTTGCACCATCAGCACGTGGAGAACGCGGGGGTACGGCCAGGATGACGAAGGAGGGCCTGCGGAAGGTAGCGCAGCAAGTGTTGTCATCCTCTGTCCTCCTTTCATCCCTCTCCACCTCTTCATCCTGCTCTCATTCACCCTCGTCTGGCTACGCTCCACCTCCTCACAGATCGTCTCCTCCTTCTCCACCTTCTCCTCCTAATTCGCCTCCGCGCCTTCCTCCTCCTCCTCCTCCTCCTCCTCCTCCTTCTCCTCCTCCTCCTTCTCCTCCTCCTCCTCCTCCTCCTCCTCCTCCCTCTCCTATCCTAATACCCCTCCTCCTCCTCCTTCTCCTCCTCAGGATCCTCCTCCTTGGCCTCCGCCTGCAGCTCCGCATCATCCTCTTCCCCGCCTATCCTCACACCCCTCCTCCTCCTCCTCCTCCTCCTCCTCCTCCTCCTCCTCCTCCTCCTCCCCCTCCTCCTCCTCCTCCTCCTCCTCCTCCCCTCCTCCTCCTCCTCCTCCTGCTCCTCCTCCTCCTCCGCCTCTCTTCCTCCGCCTCCTCCGCCTCCGCATCCGTCTCCTCCTTGCCCACTTCTGCTTCTCCCGCCCACGGTGCTCTGCAGTCCAGGCGCGGCGCCCCCGGTGCCTCCGCGCGGTAGTGGCTGCAGACTCGGACCTCTCTTACGCTCGCCCCCTCCCGCCCATGGCCCTCCTCCTCCTCCTCCTCCTCCTCCTCTCCTCCTCCCCTCCTCCTCCTCCTCCTCCTCCTCCTCCTCCTCCTCCTCCTCCTCCCTCCTCTCCTCCTCCTCCTCCTCCTCCTCCTCCTCCTCCTCCTCCTCCTCCTCCTCCTCCTTCTCGTTCTCCTTCTCGTCGTCCTCGTCCTCGGCCCAGTCCCCCTCCAGTCCCGAGCTCCCTCTGGAGCACCCTGCAGCTTCTGCGCGACAGTTCCCCTCCGTTGGGGGTTCGTGGACCCAGCCGGATGGCCTCGTCTCCCCCTCACACACGTCGTGCTGAGCCATGTCTCTCTGACCCCACATCTTCAGCCACGCGCAGAGGGGGATAGGGGGAGGGGGAAGGCTTCTCAGAAACACCCTCCCTTCTTACAAGGCGCGGGCGCCCCTTCTAAGAAGCTTGCTGCTGCTTATTAGAAGCTCTTCCCGGCGTGCGTCTAAGAAACAGGTGTCTTGCTTCTCAGAAACTGCTTTTGCTTCTAAGGAGCACTTCCGTGCTTCTACGAAGCTGCTGGTGTGCTTCTAAGAAGCGGCGCGCTCCTGGCTTCTGGGATGGGCGGCCAGCGATTTCTAAGAGGCAGCCGCCTTCTAAGAAGCTTACCCCCCTCCCTCTACCCCCCTGTGCGCGCCGCCTACCTCTGCCCCTCTCTCGCCTCTGCGCCAGCCCCCGCCTCCTCCACCCGCGGCTTCCCGCCCCCCGCCCGCGCGCGCCCCGAGGCGGGGCGACCCCTGGACCGAGAAGGCCCGGAGGGCGCTGGCTGTGCACCGACGCCGACCTTGGCCAGGCCGAGCCCTGGCACAGGATCGGCGCATGTGACCCCCTGCCGAAGCCCAGGAGGGCGCACATTCCCCCCGCATAGCAAGGATGGGCAACCTTCCCAGGGGTACCCTTTGCATCTTGGCCTCCTCGGTCCATCCTTGGCCACTTTCGTTGGCCGCGCCCCTCTCGAGAAGCTTCGAAATTGGCGCCCCCGAGGCCCTTTCAGCTTTACCCCGCATCCTTGCTAGACGGGTTGGCTGTATGCACCGATCCTGGGCCGGGGAGGAGGCCAGGTCGGTGTGTGGAGCTGGCTCCTCTCGAAAGGTGGACGTCTTCTCGCCCTCCGACCAGGGGTGGCCAGCCTTCATGCGGCCCGGACCTCGGGGAGCGCGGCGGGGGGGCCTTGAGGAAGGGGAGGATCAAGGAGGATCGAGGATGATGGAGGATGAGGACGAGGACGATGAGGAGGAGGAGGAGGAGGAGGAAGGAGAACGAGGAGGAGGAGGGGTAAGAGGGGGAGGAGGCGAAGGAGGAGGAGGAGGAGGAGGAGGAGGAGAAGGAGGAGGAGGAGGAGGGGGAGGGAAGGAAGAAGAGGAGGAGGAGGAGGGAAGGAGGAGGAGGAGGAGGAGCTTGGAGGAGGAGGAGGAGTAGGAGCGAGGAGCGAGGAGCGGAGGACGAGGACGAGGAGGAAGACGAGGAGCGAGGAGAGAGGAGGAGCGAGAAGGACCAGGAGGAGGAGGGTGCTGAGCGTGCTGACTACATCGGGGAAGGGATCCCCCCTGCTCGCCACGTCGGGCGCCATCATGGCGGAGACCGCCAAGCTCGCGGGCGCGCCCGCGCCGTCCGCGCGCCGTGTGGACCCCAAGGGCACGTCCCCCGAAGCCCCCTTGCGGCGGCCCCACGGGGCCAGGAGGAGCCCCGCTCACACGGGAGTCGGCCAAGTCCGGCAGGGACACGGCCAACGCACACGCAAGCCCAGGGGCCCGCCACCGAAGCCAAAACAGCAAGGCCACGAAAGGCCCCACCGAAAAGGGGCCCAGCGAGCCCCTCAGCCCGAGGGAGACGTCGAGCTCGGCCCAGTCGAACCCCTCGAAGAGGCCGCCCTCCAGTGCGTCCAGCACCGCCCTGTACTTGGCGGCGTCTGCCTCCGAGCCGTTGGCCGCCGTCGAGTCGGCCTCCCTGTCCTTGTTAGTATGATGATTATTAGCATCTGTATGTGTATTAGTATTATTAGTATTCTTAATATTATTATTATTAATATTATTATTATTGTTATTGTTATTATTCTTATTCTTATTATTGTTATTGTTTTCTTTATTATTATTATTGTTATTGTTATTATTTGTAGTAGCATTATGATTATTCTGAGTATTCGTTTTATTATTATTGTTATTGCTAGTATTATTATTATTGCCAGCCAGCTCAAAGTTCCGGATGTAGAACTCCGAAGGGCCAGCCGCAAGATCACCAGCAGCTTTGACGTTGGGCTCCAGCATGCACTCCCCGCCGCCTTTGCAGCCGTCATTGACACCACCATTCCGTGGGATTCGGCCCACGGTCCTGATGCCCTCCACCATCGTTCATACAGGATTTGCTTCCGTCACGGTGGTGTCCTTGTCCTTCTTGATGTACTTATCCCAGCGCTTGAGCTTCGGGAGCGCCCACGTGCCCCAGGCCTCGTCCTCCTCCAGCACTGCCGTCGCTGACGAGGCCTCTTCCAGCACCTTCGTCCTGATGTCCTCCTGCTGCACGTCGCAGGTCCTCAGCTCCAGGATCTTGAGCCCCTGGCGCTCCCGATCCGCCCAGTCCCTGGCCTTCTTGGATGGAGCACGCGTCGGCGACCCGAAGCGAGACTTTGATGACGCTGCCACCGCCTCCTTGCGCGTCATGTGGAGTGGCTTGCCCGCCACTTGCGGCTCCTCCTTGAGTTTCTCCGACTTGGCGTCCCCCTATCCTGTTGTTTTTCTTCTCCTTCTCATTCTTCTTCTCCTTCTTCTCCTTCCGAGATTGCCTCATCACATCGTACTTCGCAGCCTTGTCCGCCAGAGTCGTCTCGATAGGAATTTGCCTCTTCTCCTTCGAGCCCGTGACCTGCTGCGCCGTCCGCCGAGGCAGAGGCTGCACCCGAGACGTCGGATGGCCGTACCCCAGCCCCAGCGCCTCCAGGCTGAAGCCGCTCATGGCCGAGCTGGACCGCCATCTCGCTCCAGCGATGACGACCGCTGAACTCCTCTTCAAAATTGCCCACCGCCTTGACCCCGTCCGCGAAAAAAATGAGGTCGGAGGCGTTGCGGATGACTAGGCGCATGCAGCGCTCCGTGCAGCAGCGCCCTTGTGAGTTGCGCTGCGCGACGCCGAGCCGGCCGCCACCCACCGCCGTGGGCCGCGCCGAGCAGCGCGCGCGCCGGGCAGGGGTGCGCCGAACTCAGCCACAAGGGCTACCAGGAGGAGGGGGAGGAGGAGGAGGAGGAGGAGGAGGAGGAGGAGCGAGGAGGGAGGAGGAGGAGGAGGAGAGGAGCGAGGAGCGAGGGGGAGGAGGAGGAGGAGGAGCGAGGAGGAGGAGGAGGAGGAGCGAGGAGAAGGAGGAGCGAGGAGGAGGGGGAGCGAGGAGCGAGGAGAAGCGAGGGGGATCGAGGAGGAGGACGAGGATCGAGGAGGAGGAGGATCGAGGAGGCGTTTTTTCTAACCATCGAGAGGAGGAGGAGGAGGATGAGGAGGAGGAGGAGGAGGAAGAGGAGGAGGAGGAGGAGGAGGAGGAGGATGAGGAGGACGAGGAGGAGGGGCGTTTTTTCTAACCATCACGTGAAGCGAGTTGTGGGCACCACAAAAACCATGACGTCCGCCCGTGCCCCTGTCGCGAGAGCGGAGATGCGAGAGCAGTGGCGCGCGCGGTCGCGCGCGACCCGCCGCTGGCAAGAAAGTGGACGCGTGGGCGTCGCGGCGACGACGACGGCGACGGCGACGACGACGGCGGCGCCTGCGCCGACGGTGACGACGACGGCGGCAACGGCGACGGCGGCGACGACGAACATCGCGGCGACGGCGGCGACGGGTCCCGGGTCCACGGGCGAACTTGCGCTTCGCCCTCGTTCCTGGAGTCCCCGGCCAGATTGTATAGAAGGAACGAACTTTTTGCGCGCAGTTCTACCCCGACCGTCCCTCTGGTTAAGCTCTCTTCTCGCTTTCGTGAAACGTTGTTTTTCTTCGAAATGTATTGAGCGGCGCGCCTTTACTAAAGCCGCTTCCTCGATTTAGTAGGGCCGTTTCTTCGCTTTCGTAAAGCCGCTTCTTCGCTTTAGTAAATGCGTTTCCTCGCCATAAAAGGGTCCGAGGTCCGCCTTGATGCGGCAGCGATGCGGGGCTAGGGCTCAGTCGTGGGGCGGGGGGGGCCCGTCTTTCCAGCCAGTTCACCCCGCGATGCATTAGCTCGAGTAGTCAGGGTCGCTTTACATCGGGTCGCGTCGACCATTGGGCATGTTTTCAGCGAGCTGCATCTGCTCCTTGGCAGCAGATGTAGGGCGCGAGCGTAGGACGTGGCTCGGCAATTCGGACGCGCCGCCGCGATTGTCGCGCAACAGACCTAACGCACTTTACTGAACGGCTTTTTTCCTTTAGAAAACAGCTCCTTCAAGATAATAGTGTGAACTTCCCGCTTCCAAGAGTCGTCGTCGTCGGAGGAGGAGGCGGAGGAGGAACCCCTCCAAGGAGTGAGGCGATCCCCCCGAGAGGAGGGCTCGCTTTACTCCTCGCTTCTTCTGAGAGCGCCACTGTCGGGCCCGGGGGCAATGTGGACGTGGCTCTGGCGCGAAAAAACACAGGCCACGGAGGAAATGCTAGAAGCTTCGCGTACCCCGACCAGCCCATCCAGAAACAATGCCCATGCGAGTTGAGGTGATCAGGGGAATGCGAGAGCAAACAAGGGGGACGGCCGAACCGTGCGAAGGTGGGAAGATGCGAAGGAGGAGACTGGATGGATGGATGAGGGAGTGGGGAGAAGGAGGAGGAATAGGAGGAGGAAAGAGGAACAAGAGGAGGAGGAGGGCAAGCAAGAGGGCCAGAGGTCTCTTGGATGCCCCTTTTTTCGGGGCCTCTTGGGATATTTCTTGGGCGCTTCTTGGTGGCCTCTTGGGACGTTTTGGGTGTCTTTTGGCGGTCCTGTTTTTTTTGGGGGGGCGCCTTGAGTACCTCGGAGGGGGCCTCTTGGGGCCGCCGGGCCGCTTGGGGTCCTCTTGGGGGCCTCCTGGAGGCATCTTGAGGGCCTCTTGGAGCCGTGTGGGGGCCATCTTGGGGCTTTTGGGGGCCTCCAGGGCGCTTCTGCGGGCCATCTTGGAGGACATCGATCAAAGAAAGGGGGGTCCCCATTTACGGCTGCCCCCCCAAGAGGCCAAAATGGGGCCAACACGTTGATTGAACCATTGATTTGGGTTTCCTCGCCGAGGCCGCCTTGGACGCCCTGACCGCTCGCGTCCGGCCCCGTCCAGGTCCAGCGGAGGGGGCAGGGGTAGGGGTCAAGACCCCCTCCCCGCCTGCAAGCCGTCTCGTTCACTCCCACCCGCCCTCCCGCACATACGCAGCACCCGAGCCTGGCCCGAGCCACAGCATATTCAGCAGTCGTCTTTGGATGGGCAGCTACTGGGGGTGAATCCGCCGCCGCCGCCTCCGCCGCCGCCGCCGCCCGCCGCCGCCGCCGCCGCCGCGCCGCCGCCGCCGCCGCCGCCGCTGTCCGCCGCCGCCGCCGCCGCCACCGCGCCTCCCGCCGCCGCCGCCGCCCCCACTGCCGACTCGCCGCGCCGCCTCCGCCGGCGCCGCCGCCGCCGCCCCCGCCGCCGCCGCCGTCGCCACCGCCGCCGCCGCCGCAGCCGCTGCCCCCGCCGCAGCCGCCGCAGCCGCCGCCGCCGCCAAGTATATTCTGTATTATTTCTGTTGACAGGAATTGCAGAGGGAGGCCGCATCGGGTTCGCTGCGCATGCTCCGAATTGGGGGGCAGAGTGTGTTTTGCATTGTTTTTTCACCAGGGATGGTGCGGGGGGGCCCTCATTGGCTCGGGTTGACTCACAGTCGCCTGGGGGAGGGGGTGTATACTAATAGGGAACAGTGATCAAGCCACCTTCTCCGCACGCAAGCCGTCTAGCTCACTCCCACCCGCCCTTCCACCACAAAAGTGGCATCCAAGTCTCGGCATTGGATGGACAGCTGCAGGGAACCAAAGCGGACGCCAGGTGCGCGACGCTCGCCGCGGGCTCCACATGCGGTTGGTGTGCCATCCTTGTAAACAACGTGATGCCCCCCCGTCCGCATGGTCCAGATGCTGATGTGGGGGGCGTCGGCGTTGCTCTGGGCCTGCGCGCAGCAAGCATCATCATGCGGGCAC